TTTTATTTCCCTCATTTTTATGTTTGTGCCGTTTAAATCTTTGTGAATATTGGTCTTCCGGGTTTGAGTCATAAAGATAGTGGCTTATTTAAATTTTGGAATCGCGTCAATATCGCTTTGAGCTTACTACAAGTACTTTCTATCTGGAAATCTTCGGTCTAGTCTATTTTTAAAAGTTAATTTTAGCATTTCTGTATTGATGGTCTTATTTACAAAATCTCATTCTAAACGTTCTATAATCTTACTAATACTTCCGGGATAAGTGGTCTCTTACAGTTGTTTGATCAGGGTCACATAAAGTCTGCGGTGTTTGAGCGATGTAGACAGGGCTGTTCGCATCTCTACCTAGGTTAATGCACCGGCTTGGATATCCTTCTTGTGCTCCATCCACCATCAGTCTCCTGAGTGCTCCGTACATAATATGTGCTTGCATAGCCTCTTATTAATCAGCTCGGACAAACTTTGCCGCGCCGAACGCGCATTGTAATAACAACTATTTAACTCGTTGTAGGGCGCTGTTCTCACAGGACCCAAAACAGTTTTATAATTTTATACACTAAACGAAAGCCTAAAACATATCCCTCCTCGCTTTCATTTGAAAATACTACCGCAAATAATAATCAGGCAATAGCCGACCTATTTTCGAGGATTTTTAAAAAACGTATTTAAACTATTTGGATTAAAATCAGGCTTATTCATACGTCATGACAAAATCGAACTTAATTTTCAGTCCTAGCTTTATCGAAAGCTCTTTTGTTTTAGATCTTCATAGTGTCAAGCCAGTTCACTCGCCAGGTCCCTACGGTATTCAGGTATTGTCCCGACGCCCTGTGCTATGTAATCTATACTGATTTTAGTAAAACATTTGACTTTGTTTACCATTCTCTCCTCGTTAAGAAACTCGATTAAATGGAATTCCCAGTTGATCTTAGTTGGATCTTAAGACAGAACGCAAAAGTTCTTTTTTTAAGAATAATTTATATAATGTTCTAAGGGTTTCTTCTGACGCTCCGCAAGGGAGCTATTTGGGCACTTTCTTGTTTACATTATTTATATGACCAGCCCAAAGTCTTGACTTACTCCAGAGTACTTATGCACGGTGATGATAACAAGCTTTGCGTGCAATACAAGTACGTCGCATGCTGGTCGGATTTACAAACTCAATCGATCAATTTCTATATATTTTTTTAGCTTTAAGCGTTCTTAAATTAATTCCTATTTTAAACGTCATGTTTAAACAATTTAAGGTACAAACTCGTTACTAAAAACACCAAATAAAACACCAGTACAGTGTAACAGTCGTACAAAGCCTTTGGCGAAAAGACGTAATATATGAAGAGGTGGTAGCGAAAGCCAACTATCAGGCAGAGGTAGAAGGCCGCCGGCAGCATGATGAGTGCAGCGTAGAGCGAAGCTATAGCGAGTCAGCGGCGATATAGTAGGGTGGCTGTACCTGCATGATTCCCACGCTACGCAGATCCGAGCACACTTTATGCTCACTTTAGGACAATCAAATAGAGAAATGCGTGTATCTCCGCACAGTACGTGTTTAGGGTGACGAAGAGGCCTACGATGACGGGGTTGTAACTGGTCGGACTTATGTATCCTGGTGTCAGGTCAATAGTGGACAGGCTGTTCGAGTTGCCCTGATAGTAGAAAAAAATTATGGCCAAGAATATCGTCATGATGATCTTGTAGACGTGCACCAAGCGCACCGAAAACTTTCGAGCACTGGTCGCAAAGATATCGCACAGCTTGTAGGTTTGCTGCAAGGCCACAAGAAGGACGGAAAGCAGTAGGATGTTTTGCACCTTTTGCAGCAGGGCAGCCAACAGCAGGGAGCTGGTCAGGTTCGTCTGAAGCAGTTGAAGCACCACGTTTCTCGTGCCCAAGGTCGGATTGGTTTGAGGCAAGGCTTCCCGATAGCCCAGCCCTAGAACCAGTGCCAGGCAGCACCAGAAGATCACAAACGTGGGCACCAATAATTTGGAGGCCAGATACGGTGCCAGTTCGATGAAGTGCACCTGGCCATTGGGCCCACGAAAGCAATAGACCATACACAAAGTCGCTCCACTGGCCACCGACTGCATCCAGCTTGCGCTGTGGTGAGGCAGGCGCGCCCACAACAGCTACAGTGAGAATATCATAATGGTGCTCCGGATGGCCTGCAGCCGGTGGATGTAGCGCATAAGGGTGAGCATCAGCATCACAAACAACTTCCTCGTCTGCCAATAGACAGCGTGGGTATCTCCACGGTCAGTAGCACGGAGAGAGTAGGAGCCAGGTCTTTTTGATTGTAGGTCTTTAAGCTGGATAGGGCCTTGCTGCAGTTCTTTGAATAGAGGTATAGTGGTATCAAAGTTTCTGCCAGCGTATTGCCGCCATGACCCCCGCCATCGGCCATGCCATGATCACCAGTTAGCATGAGCAGATAGTTGGGAAGGTTCTTATGCTCCAGTATCTTCTGCACCGCGGCAATCCTTGAGCTGGCATTTCCTTCCATATGATCAATGTGGTCCAGTCCTAGATATTGCAAAGTCAGCAGCGACCAGTCACTCTTGTCCAGTTCGGATTCCAGTACTTAAGTCACATTTCTATCGCATATCGTAGAAATCGTTGACAAAAAACCAATCGCTGTTTTCCGTACGTCGCGTAAACTCGCTGGGAAAAAGATTTACCCAGGTGTTGTCAGCGGCGAATATGCCGTCATCGTCGATATGTCCACATGAAGGGTGAGCCTTTCACAGGCCCTGGCATGTGCCACCGGCATGGACGTTGCATCCGGAAAGTCGTTTCAAAGTGCGTCGATCAGGAACAGTATAAAGGAATCGTAGGCAGGTGGCTCTAATTTTACGCCGTGCCATGTGGTGGGCTGGCCCTCGGGTGCTGTCTTTCTCCGCCGCCAAATAGGACGCCGAAAAGAAGCCGATCAAAAAGAGCACGGCTCCGAGGAGGAACAGGGTGTACCCCAGGCGACTCTTGTGCTGCTCCATACTTTTATTTTCATTTCTTTGAGCGCTCCTGCTCCACCAGCAACAACCAGTGTCAAACGGAATAAACGAATTAAACGGATCTTTATAATTTCCAAAAATGGTGCCGCGTAAACTCATAAAACTTAAACGACTTTAAATGCAAGCTTATGACATTTTCTCGTGTCGGTCCAAAGCTTGCAACTCACACGCAGAATTGCTGCTATTTAGAAGAATTAATTCAGTTGATGATTAGGGCGTCCGCCTATATCAAGTGAAGTAACTTTATCGATCATAATTCGTCCATAGTGAATAAAGCCAGGGGTATGCTTGGATTTATTAAACGGTGGTCGGAGGAATTCAAGGACCCCTTTGTTACTAAACCCGTATATTTTTTCTTAATCTTTAGATGCAAACCAAAGATTACCTTCCTATTTTAGTAGACTCCTTCTTATTAACTAACCATCCTCAGACTTTGTCTATCTATCTTAACCTTTATCTATAACCTCGTTCATGGTGACGTGAAATTGAGTCAGCTCGATTTCCACGTACCAAGTAGAAATACTAGATCCTATATAGCATGAACCTTTTAGAGTGCAAACTACGATGATTGCAAACACTTTACAAACTAAAAACTTTAATTCAAACACAGCACGCCGGTAGTTCATTTCCTCGAACTCTTTTTCTATATTTCCTATCTCGCCTACTTCACTTAACCCAACAGGCACGTGCCTGGTGTCATACAGACCACTTGTATTTACTGACCGTAGTGCATCAACGTCCATTAATAAAGGAGGTAATAGTTAATCGCGGTAAAATCTTTACTGAAATCAGAATAAATAATATAGAAGCCCTTTATATTAAAAATAAACAATAGTTAAAAAAAAGTAAAAAAGCACGTTTTTATAAATAACCGAACTAAAAAGAAGAAAATAATTTATAATTACAAACAAAATTATTAAATTCAGAGCAATAGTATATAATTATAAAAAAGATCACTAAATTCAGAGTTAAAAGCGTGGTTTCTATGGCAGCCGTATTATATATTCTCCCGATTTTCATAAAATTAAAGCCGAAATTCTAGAGTAATATAAAGTGGTTATATATCATTCAGATAGTTTCAAAACTGAGAGACTAGTTTGCGTAGAAACAGACTGACTCGCCTGTTGATGCTGACCAAGAAGATATAATTACTTTAAATGGTTGGAAGTGACTTAGTCACTGTGTTGCAAACTTCTATATTTGTATATTTATAATACCCTAATCAAATCCGCTACTCAATCCCCTAGGCCATACCCCATGCTGAGTAATGGGCGGCGATTGACTGAGATTCTAAAAATAAGTGTGTTTGAAAGGACTAACATGATAGCAAAAATAAAACTTGAAATAATAAAGTATTATATGTAACATTTTAAATTGTCTGCAAATATAACGCACCACTAATTGGGCCCTATGCATGCATCGAACACATTCGACTTTATATTTCTTACTTGTTTGTTTAATTGTGCATTTAGTAATTGCTTTATTTAATAACTTTATTGTATTAATATGCAATAATAATAAATAAGATCAAGCTTTGTGATGTAGCCAACTTACATTTTCAGGCTTAAGCCATGGGTATACATATTTTAAATGTTATGTTGATTTTAATTACATAATTATTTTCCAATACATTTTATACCCTTGCAGATTTTAGTTAAAAGGTTACAACGCAGTGATTGAGTCATTTCCAACCATAATAAATCTATATATTCTCGATCGGCATCAACAGCTGAGTCGATTTATGTTATAACTTTTTCAATTTTTCAACATATTCTCATCCAATTTAAGATAAAGCCGTTTTGTATTATTTCAGAATTTTATCTTTAATTTTTCGGACTGCAATATAATATGGCTTAAAAAATATCGTTAAATGTACAGCATAATTCCAAACGGTAAATATAATATAATACAACTGTAATGGATGTAGGCATTACTTTGTTTCCATTATTATATCTGTATACTATAATGATATCTATATTATGAGTTGCAATCTGCAAGGGTAAAAAAATCCGGCGTGCCGAAGTTTACGAAACAATAATTTGAAATACGAATATCAACTTTATAGGGTCTGGGGTACTATCCATGCTAGTGCATGGACAAAGCGTATGGTGATACCTTGCGACTTGTCTTTAAAGTCGGAAAGCATGATACATGTATGTATATATTTTTAATAGTGATTAACACAAACATCCAGAATATTATCTAAAATATCATCGTTCCTACTGTACTCCCCGCTATTTTGGAGATAGTGAAACTGGTCATCCAGACTGTCTATTAAGGGTCGAAAGTTTGAATAATCATAATTAACAGTTATGTTGCAAGATTCCTGAATATTGTCTCCTTCGGTAAGTGATGTAGGTTCCACTATGCCATTGAATGTAGAAGAAAAAACCTGTTGATAAAACACATATGTAATATATATATATAAGTATATATCTTAACCTTACCATATTGGCTGTGTCTCTTTTCTCAGAGATTAAACTATAGAGGCTCTTTTCGCCTTCGCCATAGCGTATTTTTTTTGTTTCCTTATCATATATGGTGTATAACGAAACTTGTTCTTCAGATTGAGCAATATTTTGCATCTGTGTATTTGGTTCTATTATTTTCTGGCATTTTTTTATATTTGGATCCTTAACAGTCTGTTTACATAGTTTTCTGTTACGAATGCGCTTTCTTTCACATTTCTTGGGATCAACTCCCAACTCCCAGTATCCGCCTTTCCCTTTCTTTTCTTCGCGTTTCCTATTGCGGAAGCAGTGGTGAAGTGACAAGTTATGCCTAATAGAATTCTGAAAATAACAATTATAAAATGATATCTTTTATTGCAACATAAGTATTCTGAAATCGGTAATCACTTACATTCCATTTCTTGCGAACTCGGAAAAACGCAAACTTAGACTCAATCCACGAGCAAATCTCTTGCAATGTTACGCGTCCATTTTTTAACATAGCCATGCCAATAATATGAGAATAATTAAATGGCGGTTTTTCGGTAACATCTGTTTCATATTTGGGGGCTAACTTTTCATATTCTGTTAAATCACTGTTTAGATAAATTTTTAATTTTAAAAATCAATTAAGGATTGTAGAAATTATTGATACTGTATTGGTTTTTTATTAATAGATATTTGAAACTTACGAAAGATTGAGAGAAAAAAATATTTTATTTAATTATTCAGACATATATACCAGAAAAATAAATAACACAAATAAATAAAAAATTATAGATATTATTGATATTTTAAAGTTAAATGGGTTATTATTCGACATTTAGAATTCCAAATATCAAAATAAAATAACGACAATTTATACTAATTTCTATGTTTAAAAATAGTAGGTACCAAAGTCCAAGATAATTCCGATAAGATAATAACCGCGAAATTATTGTGGATATATGACATTCGACTCTACTTGCAATATATACATAGCTTTAATAGTCAATCGTTTTTATTGCCTTATTATACCCTTGCAGGGTATTATATTTCAGTCAGAAGTTTACAACGCAGTGAGGGAGGCACCTCCGACCATATAAAGTATATATTCTTGATCAGCATCAACAGTCGAGTCGATCTAGCCATGTCCGTCTATCCGTCCGTGTGTCCGTCCATCTGTCCGTGTTTGTAGTTAGTCTTTTATATACTCTCACTCGTATATATGTATGTCGGAACGGGCCGGATCGGACGACTGTATCATATAGGAATGATCGGAAAATTTTGACATAAAAAAAATTATAACATTTTTAGTTTTCAGCAGAATTTTTTTAAAATTTTAAACAAGCCATTTTATATTAATCTACAATTTTGTGTAAAATTTTATGAAAATCGAACTAGTATATCATATAGCTTCCCTAGGAACGATCGAGAAATTAATACAATGAAAAATTTTACCTTCTTTTTTTAACAGATTTTTATCAAATTTAAGATATAGCCATTTCATATTATTCTACAATTTTGTGTACAATTTTATTAAAATCAGACGACTACTTCATACAGGTGCCTTACAAACGATCGTCATCGAAGTTCTAAGTTCAAGGGTATATAAATTTCGGCGTGCCGAAGTTAGCTTCTTTTCTTGTTTTTTATAACATATTTGTAATTATAATAAATAAATAATAATTCATACACTTACCGCTTAATTTTGTTGAGAAATATCTCATAGCGTTCAGATGGCGATGGTCGTTTTGGAATTGTTTTTTGCGATTTAGTAACACATTTTGTTAGCAATACCGGTTTCGTTTGGTTTGTTCGAATATTTGAGTTGTGGCTTTCAGAGCTGGCTTTGAAATGTTCTTCTGTGTGTGAATCAATAATGGTTTTTGCCCACGTCAAGTTTTGATTCCTTAAGAGCCAATTTAGATTGGTCAGCTCGCGCTCTTCGTCGGATTCATCCAACTCATGCAAAGCTATGTTGTCCCTGTGGAATGACGACGATCGTGTTGGATGAGAACTATCGCTTCCTTCACTCATTGCCATTTCTGTATATATGAAAAATGGGGAATTTTGTTAAAGTTCCCACAATCTTAACTGTCTGCAATTATCTGTAAATTAATCATATCTATTTTTATTCTTTTTCTGTCAATTTGTTCAAATAGCAAATGATTTGAGTTCTTTACACACGTCTTTGAATGTATTAAATATTAATTATACTTTAAATTGGTAGTTTTAGAGACCCTAACAAGCAAGCACTCCCTCTTTAATAACAGGTTAAAATTTATATAGTTTACATTATAGGAATGTCAATCACATCTGACCCGAATTTTGAGTTGAGATTTTTACGATTTATCGTGTACATAATACGCACATAAATGAAAATCGAAAACTAGAACTACGTAATATCCGATATTAAGTAATAGCAGGACACCTGCGTTCTAAGCCATTTTGTTTAAAGTTACGTAACCAGAGAATTGTAACGGAATAAGGAAAGCTAAAACTACAAAAAAATTCAAAATATATATTTTAAAAATATATATTATAACACTTAACACTTGTAAAGACTAATTTCGTATTATTAAATATCTTTAAAACATGTACAGGTGCAATTTATGAACGTTTTAAATCAATACTTTATGTAGTTCCTTGTTAAATTAATTTCTGCGTTTTTTAGTAATTAACTGTATTTTTGCTTGCAAACTGCACTACTCCGAAGTTGCTGCACCTGTGCCCTTGTTCAAATTGGTAAAGCAACCCTCTTTTTCCTACTAAAGTGACAAAACGTTAGTGGCTTACGGCCGTATAGGGACGATTGAAACTAACTGAGGTCAGAAGGTGGACTTAGACTTGCGGTCACTTTATGCAAGTACATGTAGTATAATTTCATATATACCCCTTAATGGTTGGTTGCCTTAGTTCTTACCCTTATTTTTATTAAACAATCGCACTAGGAAAACTTCCACGAATATATATATCTAGGGTGTTGGGCATTAACAACCCTATTTTACCATACACACTTAATTGCCCCTGCGCTGGAAATATGGACGTAACACTACAACGGCAACTTGTCATCGGATTCTTTCACCACGAATATGTATGTACAGTTGCGGTAAAAACATTGGTATTGTTGGTATTATTACTATTATGATATTATTATAATTTGTTTATAAGTTAAAAGGAGATACATTTTGGATTGGGTGGCGTTATTTTTTATTATCTCAATCAGTATAGAGTGATAATGGCGCAATAAAAAGTATATATAAACGTTAAACGTTACTTATAATAATCATTTATAATGAAATTGATTAATTAATTAATACTATTTAATTACTAAATTAATTAACACTATTTTTGAGCTACTTTATTGAACGTAGCTGTATATATTTGTTATTCTCCTTATCCTTATACTGTACGCTTGCTCAGTTACATATGTACATATGTTTGTACATACCAGGCCGGAAAATAATGTCAAATCCAAATAAAAAACTTAGAAGTAGAACGGTTCTGTAGCATATATGTACATACCTGTTGTTTATTAAAAATAAATGATATAGTTACTTTTAAAAGAAATTTTAAATTTAACTCTTTTGCCTGAAAACATGAATTAATGGCCTTCGTTCTACCAAATCTGTTTATTGAACAATATTGTTTTTACAGAATTATGAAGTTATTCCCGGGAAAAATGTGGTGAAAAATTATGAAACCTCGTACGTCCGCGACCGGTACCTAATTCAATAAACATAATTCCTTCTGAATTTACTACCCTTCAAAAATATTTGATAGCTTCTGGAATATTTGGTTTCAATTCGCCGATTTTAGCATGCTATATTCGAACTATACTGAAAATTAAAACATTGCTAAACATGGAGAGTAAAACCGAACACCACCGCGGATATGCTTAAATATATATATGTACATACATATGTGTGTGTGTGTATATATACCCTTCAGTACCATTCCTTAAGGATTCAGGTCTGAATCAGGTTGGATTGGAGAAGTCTCCATCCTGAAGCTTTCACACAAGGACTACACAAGGAGTTTACCGGGAATCATAAAGGAATCGTTCAGGAATTCGTCGTGAATTTCGTCACGAATGCCCCCCTGAATCAAAAGGGAACTTCGAAATGGATTCTGAACAGAACTATTCAGGAATTTGAGACGAAATCATATATATATTTTTATATACATGTATACGTACCAATTAAACAATAATTCGGAAAATATATAATGGCTTTTCCGTTCAAACCGTCAGGTTAAAAAAAACCAGGTTCAAAAACAGTTCTGCAAATAAATTTATTTACTGAATATACCTTACCTTTTAATAAAATCCAGGTTCAAAAAATTCTGGAAATGAATTTATTTACTGAATACAAATAAGACACTTACCTTTAAATAATATTTAAAAAATCAATTGCAAAACACTTGTGAATACTTCAGCTGTCATTAGAGCTCCGAAAAAAATCGATGTGAACAACGAGATTATGATTTTCTTTTGGTAAATAATATTTAATAATATTTTTCTTCATCTCACTTTAATTTCGGAACCGCTTTCCTAAATTACTTCGAAAACAACAAAGTCAGAACGTCGGCTGTAGCCGAACCATAGGTAGATTTTTCATTGCCTACTTTTGTTTCGGAGTTCTCTTGCCGAAACCCATGAGATTTGTTTTTGTTTTTCGAACATGACACCGGGAATCGGACAGGAAAGGAATTTTGGTACTGAAGGGTATATACATTCGTGCATCTTATTGCACTTTTAAATAAATGTTTCTTACCCTGATCAAGAAAATTTACACATTCTTGTTGGTTTAAATAAAAATGTAATTAGGGCTATTGTTAAAATACTAAAGGTTTTTTTCGAGTGACTGACAATAAATAAAAATTACAATAAGATTTTCGAGATTAAATAGGCTTTTTTATTAATTAACCGAACTTTTTATACGCTGGCAGATCGACCCCGTTGTTGATCCTGATCCAATATATGCTTTCTAGGCTATATTTATTTACATCTAAAATTAGAATTAGAATACTTTCCAAGGGTATAATAAATAAAGTTACCTGGTCAGGCTTAAAAAGATGTGTATGAGGCAACATAAACGATGAAGCATTGTCAGTCATTGTTCAGTCATTGTATTCGCATACTAAAATTAAATTATTTTATATTTAAATAAAAATAAGTGTATTAAATTTGTTTACATTGATATCCGTGGTTGCTTTGGATCCGATGTCTTCTCAGCTAAAAATGAAATATACTAAATGTCAAACAAAAAAGGAAGCAAACTTCCGGACGCCAAAGATTGTATATCTTTGCAGATTACAATTAAATCATTAATAATTTATAAAATATAAATGATAGACTATTGTGTAAAAACCAATAAAGTAATACCTACTTTCGATAAAATAACCAATGCATACTACACTAACAGTTTTACAGCTATGGTGTTACACTTCAGTTTGCATTTTTATACCCTTGCAGGGTATTATAATTTCAGTCAGAAGTTTGCAACGCAGTGAAGGAGGCACCTCCGACTATATAAAGTATATATATTCTTGATCAGGATCAACAGCCGAGTCGATCTAGCCATGTCCGTCTGTCCGTCTGTCCGTTTCTACGCAAACTAGTCTCTCAGTTTTGAAGCTATCTGAATGAAACTTTGTAGTTAGCCTTCTATATACTCTCACTCGTATATATGTATGTCGGAACGGGCCGGATCGGACGACTATATCATATAGCTGCCATAGGAATGATCGGAAAATTTTTACAAAAAAATTTTAACTTTTTCAGTTCTCTATAGAATTGGATCAAATTTAAGATATAGCCATTTAATATTATTCTACAATTTTGTGTAAAATTTTATGAAAATCAGACGACTATATCATATAGCTCCCATAGGAACGATCGAGAAATTAATTCAATTAATAAGTATAACATTTTCAGTTTTCAACAGATTTTCATCAAATTTGAGATATAGCCGTTTCATATTATTCTACAATTTTGTGTAAAATTTTATGAAAATCGGACTAATATATCATATAGCTCCCATAGGAACGATCGAGAAATTTGAGAGGAATGAGAATGGCGGTGGCTGTTGTCGGAAGACTGACAATCGCGGTGGCGATAACATTTTTAGTTTTCAACAGAATTTAAACAAATTTGAGATATAGCCATTTCATATTACTCTAAAATTTTGTGTAAAATTTTATGAAAATCAAACGACTATATCATATAGGTGCCATACAAACGATCGTTTGATGTAGAAGAAAAATACAAATCTGTGAATATAAAGCTGCAAATATAATATGTATAGGTGAATGAAATAAAAGCAGGTATTACTTCATTGTTTTTAAACACATATAAATATAATTTATATGGTATGGATTTCTAGTCATAGAATTTCTATCTGCAAGGGTATTTAAACTTCGGCGGGCCGAAGTTAGCTTCCTTTCTTGTTCTTTATATTTTATGACAGTTATATGATTTTTATAAAATAAAGACTACATAATATGTATATATGATTTTTTATACCCTTGCACGGTATTAAAATTTCATTCAGAAGTTTGCAACGCAGTGAAGGAGTCACCTCCGACCATATAAAGTATATATATTCTTGACCAGCATCAACAGCCGAGTCGATCTAGCCATGTCCGTGTCTCCGTCCGTCTGTCCGTTTCTACGCAAAGTAGTCTGAACGAAACTTTTCAGTTAGTCTATTAGAGTATATTCTCACTCGTATTTATTTCGGAACGGGCCGGATCGGACGACTATATGACTATATGACTGCTATAAGAAGTGTAAGGAGTCAGACGCGATGGTAACTCAAGAATGCAGGCGCACGCGATTTTTGCACGACTGTGCTCGTCGGCTTGGAAGTGGTGGTCTTGCCTTATTGTAGACTGTGCCTATTGCCACCAATATTTATTAATTTTTGCGAGCATCGTCGAAGGGGGAGAAGGGACAATCAATAATCACACATGGACAGACAGACCTCTCATGGCTATATACAATGGGCTGCAATCATCTGGTCATCTGCGCCAACTTAATTTATTTAATTTTCTAATCTTTTAAATAACCTATAAAGTTTTACTTTTTACCACCAGCATGCCCGGTGGAGAGAATAAAATTAGTATTTTTGAAACATTATAATAGTTATTTATTAAGGGCTAACATTTGGATTGCTTATCAAATAAAATTTCGACCACTACTAATATAAACATAAATTGACAATTTTGATACGTAATATTTGGTGAAAATTAAAATCAAAAGTTTTGGCATTAGCCTCTTTTAAGATAAACTTATGTATTTGGGGTGAATTTGAAAAAAAAAACAACGAAAAATTAGCTCAGCAATAAAACCGATTTAATTATTTTTACTTTTTGCCACTTTTCGGCACGTTTGCCCTCGCTAATACATACTTATTGTGTTTCTTATTTCGAGATTTTATGCTCTCATGTACGAAAAAATTGCGGTGGCTATTAACATTTCAGTGAGCCCTTTGAATCGAAATATATTGTTTTTTTGTTTTTATTGCGCTTTTATTAGTTCGGGATGTATTTATCTACTTTTAAAGGGCTTCCAAATATCTGATAAGCTTGAAACGTTGCATACTTCTCAAGGACCGATGACAAGGAAATAATTTTATAAAAATTTTCATTATCCTGATTAGGATCGTCAGGTTTGATAAATTCTTTTCTATAGATTCTCCATAAGGGAGTTTGCTGCTGGACATCTTATGTAGCACTTAATCGTGTAAGAACCTTAGACGGTATTCGCATTGAAGAACTTGATTGCTCAAAGTTAACAGGGAAAACCCCATGCAACAAAGAGGCCTTAAATGAAATAATGAGATTACTATATAGTTCGTAAGATATTTAATAACTACATGTCCGCAAAATGTTATTATTGATAAATCGAACTAAAATACGAAAGATAACTGATAGCTTAGGAAATTAAAAAAACACTCGTTTATAGGTACCCACACTAAAAACAAAACAAAAAAAAACATGTTTTATCTATAATCAATGTTACAATTATTCCAAGGGCAACTATCTGTAAGGGGAGAAAAAAACAGGTAATTCGCGCGAGATACTACCGTGCCTCCGGATGCACCCTACGCCTTTAACTCTAAATTTTTTTTTTTATTGTATTATCTATTTATTAAGTGAAGAAACAGTACACCTAATTATACCTTAACATCACATTGAACGCAGATGTAAAAATAAACCAAACCTAAATTACATAAAAAGGTTTACATATATGGAAATGACAGACTTATTGTCTCCTAGTTGTTTTGGCAAAACCTAGTCGTTTAGGACGCCTCAGTGGTCTAGCTGGTAGTAGGTTTCTAGCAAGTAAACTGCGGTGTTTCTCCAGTCTTTCACTGTATCTGCTTGTGTGTCTTCCAATCTGCTCTTCCACAGTGAGCAAATTTAGATCTCTATGTAGCGTGGCACCACGCACGTACCAGGGACAGTCTGTCATGCTTCTTAGGATCCGATTTTGCAGCACCTGAATCCTTTCGTAATTTGTTTTGGCTGCAATCCCCCAGATTTGTATACCGTAAAGCCAAATTGGCAGGATACAATTCGCATATACCGCCCTTCTGCATCTAAGTGGCAATTTGCTCCTTCTATTTACAAGCCAGCGTATTGCTGTGTCCTTAGATTACACTTTTTAACAGTGTTCTTGAGATGTGGGCCAAAGGTGAGGCGTTTGTCCAGGGTAATGCCAAGGTATTTTGCTTGCGACTGCTGCTCTGGAGTAACTCCTTCTAGTTGGATTAGAGGGGTATTAATTATTAGAGTTTTCAGTGTGAAACAGGTGTTCGTTGTTTTCGTCGGATTGATCTTCAGGTTCCATCGTTTGCACCAAGCTGCAATAGCGACAAGATACTCCTGTAGTCCATTGGCTGCTTCTCTGTGACAGCTGGAGTTGAAGATAACTGCGATGTCGTCTGCATAGGTCGCAATTAGTGCTTTGGAGGGGTCTGACATATTTTGACTGCTAGGACTGGGTATATCAGCAGTGTACAACGAATATAGCAACGGTCCAAGCACACTGCCCTGTGGAACTCCTGCTCTCATTCGTATTTCTAACTTTGACCTTAAACTCTCGATCTTCCAGATAAGATCTTAGAAGTCCATAGTAGGGAGCAGGTAGTAGAGTTTTAATCTTGTGCAGTAGGCCAACATGCCATACCTTGTCGAAGGCTTGCTGCATGTCAATAAAAACTGCGTTAGCATACTCCTTGTCATCAAAGGCCTGCAAGACGTGTTGAACCAATCTGTGGACCTGTTCTACTGTGCCGTGTCCTCGCCGAAAGCCAAATCGATGATCTGGCAAGATATTGTTTTGCGTAACAATGGCGGTAATTCGCTTTGCAATAAGTCTCTCCCAAAGTTTTGACAGAGAGGGTAAGAGGCTTATTGGGCGGTATGACTCAGGTTCAACCTCTGGCTTACCGGGCTCATGGATCATCAGTATTCTGAATTTAGTGATCTTGTTTATAATTATATACTATTGCTCTGAATTTAATAATATTGTTTGTAATTATAAATTATTTTCTTCTTTTTAGTTCGGTTATTTATAAAAGCGTGTTTTTTTTTAGTTTTTTTAAACTAATATTTTTTTTAAGAATTGGTCCTTTCCTGTCTTGGCAGGGGCAACGTGAAATAAGCGACAAAATATATACATACTCGCGGTTTTTTTGCTCGTTTTTTCACCTTTTTAGTCTGAAAAAACTGAACTATTCAGCCCGACTACCAAGATTGAAAAGAAATTGGAGACGCCCCGAATTAAGCGCGAAGTCTCTTACTGACCCTCGACTTTCTTCGGGACACAGCTTTTAACTTTTCCAGTTTTCAACAAATTTTCATCAAATTTAAGATTTAGCCATTTTGTTTTATTCTTCAATTTCTTGAATTTTTATGAAAATCGTACAATTATATCATAAAGCTGCCATAGGAACAATCAATAAATGAATACACTAAAAATTATTACCTTTCAGTTTCAAACAAATTTCCATACAATTTGAGTTATAGCCATTTTATAATATTTTGAATTTCAGTTTTAATCTTATAAAAATCGGTACTCTATGTCTTATAGCTTCCATAGAAACTATCTTTAAATGTAGAGGAAATGCAAAACTCTATATGTAAAACTGTAACTGTAAAAAATGTAAATATAATAAGTTAATGTGACTGTAATGATTTGTTTTTAAATACACAAATAAATATAATTTATATTGTGATAATTATTAAGGATCGAATTGGAATATTATTTAATATTAAATACTAACTTAATTCTGAGACATCATTTTATTGTATCTTTCTTAAATGTCAGAAGTAAGTACTATTTACTTACTTCATTTTAGATGCATTTGTTGTTGAAAAACCGTCACGAACAACGGTGGTTCCAGTATTCGTCTGTATTCCCAAAGAACTTGTTGAATAATTTTCTTGAGGTCGGCCAGGATTAATTGTGACATCATGTGTACGTATTACACTTTTCCATGTAATATCTGGCAATGATCTATTAGTACTTTGGTTGTTCTTCAAACGATGATGGTGATGAGAAGAGATATACGGCCAGCAATATTTAGCACGGGGAATCATCAGGGAAATGGAGCGTTCAGTTTGATAGGATTTGTCATGATTCTCAATTGCCTTTCTAATATTAAGAATGTCGTACATATTACGTATCGGAATGGTCTCTACTTCATGGCACTTCTGTTTATAAAATTTATGTACAATATAAATTAAATTATTCTGTTAAAAGTGTTTCAAAATGAACATTACCTCCAGAGAAAGTGAGGACCCCTGACTGGATTGACTTGTAGTGTCGTTTCTATGACTTTCCGTTGTTGTTATCATACTAGAATGTAATGTGTTGGCCATAATAAATGCCTTCTTTCTCTTTCTACTAGTGTTTATAAGTAATAAATAAAATAGTAGAAATATAGCCAGTATTGTACCGACAATAATTATAAAGATTACTATAATCTTAATATTAACTTTGCACTTGTGTCCAGCATACCAGGAATGACACATACATTTCACATTTTTTTTTTCTGTAATAATACACTTCCCATGATAATTACAAATATCACATCCAATGGTATTGTCTGAGCAAATTCGGCCGGGATATAGAGCATTATCTGATATATCTATATGACCATTCTTGCAACTACAAGTATAGCTACCAATTAAGTTAAAACAATGGGCATTTATGGAACAGTCGTTAAAGTTTTCGGAAACGCATTCATCGAAATCTAAAAAAATATATATATATATATAAATTCTGATATTAAAATATACAATAAATACTTTTATAAAAAACAAATGGTTCATACCTTTAATGTCTAACAAATCAAGTCCATTCTTTGAGGAATACAATCCAGTATTTCCAATACTAAAGTTGCTTTGTCGTAAATATTTTTGAAAAATAGTTTTAAGTCTATTTTCATTACTGTTTTCGGAGAGCTGAAAAATATTGTATTTACATTGAAAATGAAATTTTTTAAGGATTATCGATAAGAAATTATATTTATATTGACACAAATATATCGCGTTGAATAACATATGGAAAACATATAATTCGATAAATAAATTTAATAAACAAATGGTGACCGTAAATCAAAACGGTCTGAGCACTCTAAAACATGTCAAACTGTTTAATTGATGTGTCAGATGGCCACTGGCAATAGTTTGTGTGGCCTAGGGCGAAAATATACATAGATAGCACCCCTTTAATTCGAAGTTTAAAAATATAGAATTTTACATTAATGTATCGGTGTTTTTATACCCTTGCAGGGCATTATAATTTCAGTCAGAAGTTTGCAACGCTTCACTGCGTAACCTCCGACCATATAAGGTATGTAAATTGTTGATCAGCATCAACAGCCAAGTCGATCTATTCATGTCCGTATATCCGTCTATCTATCCATCTTTCTACGCAAACTAGTCTCCCAGTTTTTAAGATATCTTAATAAAACTAGTTAGTCTTCTATATACTCTCACTCGTATACATATATGTAGGAACGGGGCGGATCGGACAACCATATCATATAGCTGCCATAGGAACATTTGGAAAATTTTTACAAAAAAATTGAAGTTTTTTAGTTTTCAACAGAATATTATCAAATTTGAGATATAGCCATTTTTATTTTTCTACGATTTTTTGTTAAGATTTATGAAAACCAGACAAATATATCATATAGCTCATAAACAAAAAAACGTTAGATATAGAGGAAAATGCAAAATTATGAATATCTGTGTAAAACTGTCAATATAATATGTATAGGTTAATGAAATTAAAGTAGGCATTACTTCATTGCTTTTTAACATAAATATATATAATTTATATTGTATTAATTCATATTGATCGAAGTTCTTGATTATTTTTCTTTTTATATCATAATTTTAAATTTCTTTTTTCAAAGTTATTGGTTGCGTTCTATCGATAGTCCAGCTAAACGCATATGATCACTAATCATAATAAAAGATTTCGTACATTTGATCAGCCAAAATAGTATGTTACCTTTTTGCGATACTGATGGATTATATCGATAAGAATAAAACTAACAAGAAAGGAAGCTAACTTCGGCACGCCGAAGTTTATATACCCTTGCAGATAGAAATTCGATGACTAGGAATCCATACAATATTAATTATATATACTTTTGTTAAAAAACGGTGAAGTAATACCTGATTTAATTTCATTCACCTATACATATTATATTTGCAGTTTTACATTCACAGATTTGCATTTTGCTCTACATCAAACGATCGTTTGTATGGATCCTATATGATATAGTCGTCCGATTTTCATAAAATTTGACACAAAATTTAAGACTAATATAAAATGGCTATACCTCAAATTAAATAAAAATTTGTTGAAAACTAAAAATATTATAATTTTTAATTGTATTAATTTCTCGATAGTTCCTATGTTAAAATTAAAATAAAATTGTACACAAAATTGTAGAGTATAATAAAATGACTATGTCTCAAATTTGCAATTCTGCTGAAAACTAAAAATGTTAAAATTTTTTTGTAAAAATCTTCCGATCATTCCCATGGCAGCTATATGATATAGTCGTCCGATCTGGCCCGTTCCGACTTATATACGAGTGAGAGTATATAGAAGGCTAACTACAAAGTTTCATTCAGATAGCTTCAAAACTGAGAGACTAGTTTGCGTAGAAACGGACAGACGGACAGAAGGACAGACGGACAGACGAACAGACGGACATGGCTAGATCGACTCGGCTATTGGTCCTGATCAAGAATAAATATACTTTATCATATATGATCGGAGGTGCCGCCTTCACTGCGTTGCAAACTTCTGACTGAAATTATAATACCCTGCAAGGGTATAAAAATAGGCATGTAAGCATGAGGAAATAGCGTCATCCTTAGTTACTCTTTAATAATTAGTTTTTATTCATTGAATATCTTTTTATTTATTAATTAGTTTCTGTAACCATAAATGCAGGTGCTTTTTAAGAAAAGAAGGAGCCACATTAACCACCATAATATTTTATGAGGTGTCTGGTTAAAATCTGCCGCTTGGACAAATTAAGAAATATTTTATAATGACCCTAGCTGTTTTTCAGGGATTCGTACAGTTATCTTATAAGCAAAATGAAATGAATGTTGGCGGAACCCCGATAACGACGACATAAGAGGTAACAAACAGAATATTGATTTCAGCATATATGTAACTCGCTTGCTTACCTGCAGTATAAATTGAACAATAAAAGAATCATTATGTTGCGTAGAAATGACCGCTTTCAATTGAACATTATAATATATATCTCGAAGGTCGGATTGCATTAGCATACGATCAGCGGCCTCCAATAATATCATATCATTTTTAAATATATCGATCAGCCGCAAGTTATTTTCCTCGAAATTGGCTTGAATCTGCATTTCATATGTATAGGTAGCTGTAAAATACGATATAATACATTTATATTTATAAGTATATATATTTTTAATTGAAATAAATACTTACGCTTACAGGGTCGATCCGGAAACATTCGTCCAAAACTTGCGCGACACACACACTGAGTTTCTTCCAATTTAGTGTCATTATTTATTATAGACACACATATTTCATTCTTACTCGACTTACAGGATGGTCGACAATCATTTTTGGAGCTAGTTTTCAAATAACTTTCAGCCCTTGGTGGGTAATTAATAAGAAAAGCTTCGTATTTAGTTTCAGTATTTGTGAAGTTTTTAAATTCTTTTTTATTCACATTTCCATGAATGCTTTCCATTAAAGTGCTTGTTTGTTTAATAATATCCGCGTTCTGTGGTGTGTAATCTGAAGCTATTAATTCACTATGATTTAAGGTTACAGTTTTGGATAATACCACATTTTGTAAAGGATTATCTACTGTTATTTGATTACCGTTTTTAATTTTTGAAATTTGAGACGATGAATGTGGTTCGTTATAATTTACAGTTTCATTTTTATTATTATTGTTATTACTAGGACTATAATTATTATTATTTTTATTTCGACTATTTTTATTATATTTATTATGCGTGTTCAAATGAATATTTTTTAATGCTTTTGTCAACAAACTTTGAGTTGTGGTTGGTTTTAATATTAATGTGCTTTCCATACTGATCGTTTTCGTAGGCTTTAATATATTATAATATCTGATAGATTTCCATGTATTTTGTACCTTTGTCGTAACTAATAAATTCAATGAATCCTTTCTTGATAATTCATATGATAGGTTTTCAGAGGGCTCCAGTAATTTAAAAGTTTTTACTGATGAAATAATTTTTGTTGAATTTGGCACAACTTGTGGATCCCAAATAAATAATTCCTTTGTGGATCTAAGTAAGGCTGCATCAGTTACTGGCCTTACTTTCAAGTATTTTGCATTATTCTCAACTGTTTCAATTAACGGTATTTGCATTTCGAACACCTTATTCGAAGTCAAATTTTTGGGTTTTATTGTTTTAATGGCGCTTAGCCTGGTGAAATTTAAGTATGGCAAAACATTAGAATTCCCAACTGCATATTTTTTACTTTTTTGTTGAGTGTCTGATAAATTGGTAATGATAATCGTATTTGCTTTGTTATTTTTGTGGACTTTTTGACTCAGATTTGTGGTTACGGAAATCCAATCATTTAATAGGGGTTTCTCATCCACAAATTTAATTCTATTTTTCAATATTGAATTCATAAAGTGAAGTGAATCATGAGAGTAATCGGCATTTTGATCATCATAGTTTTCTTTATGAGTTTCTGGAATTTCCTCCAGTTTCGACAGATATGGATAGGTATACTTGGTTATACCTATTCCTTTAATTGTATTTTCAGGACTCCTTATATTACTTGAGCTTGTTTTATATTTAAGAGAAGTTGCTAAGTCCTTACTTTGAAGAGTAATATCATAATTTTTGGGTGCCAACAGTGGCGTTTCGAAACTACTTATGTGTTGACCACTAACATCTGTAGTGTGGGGATCCATTTCTCTTTTAAATGTTATGGGCGCCGCATGCATATTAATTGTATGACTAAGGACACCATTTTTTAGATTTACCCGCTGAAGAAGTGTGGATATAGTGGGGCTAAAAGAATAAGGGGTAGTACTTTGTACTCTTGTGCTCAAAATTTTTGAAACTCGATATATGTCAAGAATTTGATTGTTATAAAAGGCGGATTTCTCTTTAACAGATGCATATGGATCCATACTTTGTTGTATAAAATCAAGGGATGATTTACTTAGTGCAAGAGGTTGTTTAAAAATTGGAATTGGTGGTGGCTTCAATTGTATATCATTGCGAATAGTAATAGATCGTAGATCCATAAGGGGTATACTGGGTATAAACGTGGCTAAATGACGATTGCTTAAGGATGAATAATACCCGGAAAGAACTGTTCGTCTTCCAAAAATAACATCTGCACTGGCTGTTATCACTTCACCAGGTCTTATGGGTATTCCAGTATTAAGGAAGCCATTTCCATAAGCTAAATCCAAGGCAGGGCTGTTTTTAGAGTCGTGCCTATGGAGCTTGGGTGGTTCTATATGTAAGAAGGTATTAATTCTTAATCTATTTATATTCTCCCTTCGCCTACTTGTTACATTGAAATATGGTTTTTCTACTTTGCTTTTATCTTTTATGGTTTGTTCTAAAGGTATATAATAAAGCGTACTTTCCGGCATTATATTTTTTGTATTCTTTGAAATTGTTTTATGAGGCTTTTCCTTGACGCTCGTCTCTACCATATTTATATACATTAATGGTTTCTTTAATAGTAGCGCCGCAGCAGTTAACATGGGTCTTAGTTTTGCCAAATTAAAAGTGCTTATAATTTTAGAATGTGAATTTAACAAGTTGTCGTGCAGTTCGGAAGGTTTTATTTCTGTTCCTAATGGGTTATTGTGTTTAATAAGGTTGGTGGCATTATTTGAGACAAAAGTATGACTTTTTCGAATATCCTTTGGTAGTTGTAAACTTGATAAAGAAGTGGTACTTAAATATTCCTTTGAACTTTCAGTAATTTTTTGCTTTAAGTTTAAATCTAATAAATAGTTATCACTAACAGTAAAAACATTTCTAATAACCGAAGTATCAGTTTCTGTAGGAAAACTTTCATTAAGTTTATTATAATTGATCTTACTAGTTATAGAAGTTGGTTGAATATCCTGTTGATATTTGTTAGGAAAAAATTGAGTTTCCGTAATAATAACTTGAGTGAGATAATTTTCACCCGTAACAGTTGTCAGCTGTTTTTGTGATACATTATCATCATATACCGTTCGCGTAAATAATATCCGACTATAATAGGTATTTGTATGAAATGATGGCAACAAGCTCTCGGATTTATGTAAATCAGAACCCGTTATAGTATTTGTTATAGTATATTTAGAATTGATCACTAAAGGAAGCGAATCCTGGTTCTTATCAAAAGTGTTATAAAAGTGATATGTGGTAGGAAACACGCCAACAATAAGCTCCGGAACCTGTGTAATATATATAAGGGGCATATAAGTCCGGAATAATATCTCAATATATATACATTTTCTTACCTTGGAGAAAGTAACATCAGGAATTAAATGGCTATACATTTTTTCTTCTGTCAGGCTATTTGTAACAACCATTTTCTTGCTCTCAACGTGTGTAGTGCCATTTTTTACAAAACTTGTACGATACGCATAGGTTGTTAAACAAATTTTGGTAACAAATGAACTATCATTTTCGGGAATTATCAAATTGTTCTATATTTTTGGATTAAAATGCAACACATTAGTTATCCGAAAGACATATATATATTTTTTAAACATTTTCCCTTGCTAAATTTATTATAATTTTAGGAGAAGTAAAGTCTTTTCTAACACTTAAACTAAATACATTCTTTATCAGTGTCAATAGTCGAGCCGATATAGCCATATCAGTTTCATGCAAATCAAGTCTGTTTGCCCTAACAAATAATAAGAAACATTAACTAAGATCTATCAAACTATTTCAACTTAAAGCTTGATACTGAAATAAGGTAAATCTAATTGAAGAATGGTGGACACGGACTCTTTTAGCCCGAACTCGGTCTTACACGGGTACAGTCAGTCAGTTTTCAACAGGTTTTTATTAAATTTTAAATATAGTTATTTTATAATAATCTAAACTTTTGTGACCGTTATTTATTAATTTAATTTATTTATTTATTTATGAAGTAAATAGCAATGATTGCCATTCTTAAATTATATTGTACCCTTACCTCTGCACAACAAAAGGGAGTGTTTTTTATCGATGCTCCGACTCACATCAGATGGGCAGAGGTAGGGATAGGTAATTTAACAAATTATGAACATTAAACTCGATGGACAATTCAACATGTAACAGAAAAGCATACTTATTGTACATGGAACATAGAACACGGAATGGATCATGCTCGTCAATGTTCGTCTTACAGACGTTAAGGGCTATTGGACGAAAATGACGAGAAGGCCTTACAGGGACTGCGGGACGTAATTTGTTTAATAAATACGTGGAGCAAATTTGATCATTGAGTAGTTTAAGGGTGGGGAGTATTGGGGTAGGGAGGCTTAAAAGTCTTAGCCTGTCGGCATACGATGGAAGTCGACGGTCCCAGCTTAATCCACGCAGAGCAAACAAAAGAATTGTTTCTGAACAGATTCAATAAGATCTAAGTTTCAATAATACTTCGCATATTGAGGTGACCACACACACGAACAATAATGTATAAGGATCATCATCAAACTCCTTTGACCATCGCTTAACAAAGGCGAAAACCCCTCGAGCATTACTAATAATTAGACTAATGCGGTCATTAAAATTAATGGTGGACTCCGAGATCTGTTACCGTATAGATGCGTTCAAGATCGCATGCACCTATAGGGTAATTGGCGAGCAGGCAATTCTTCTGGTAAAATGACATAAATTTGAATTTGGAGTTGTTGAGAAAGAGGAGATTATTTGTGCACCAGGATTGCATGTTATTGAGGTCAGTTTGCAAAAGGTTATGTGAATGAGAGTTCGTCAATGGCAAACATAGTTTACGTCATCTGCGTACATCATCACACTTGAGTGCAGAACCACTTCAGGCAAGTCGTTGATGAAGAGGCCGAACAGAAGTGGCCCAAGGTGGCTCCCTTGAGGAACGCCAGAAGTACCAAAACCCCGTTTTGAGGGAGAGCGCTTAAAGGCAACACGTTCACTACGGTTGGATAAATATGTTGCAATCCAGTTAGTCAATAAAGCAGGGAAATCCAAAAGCGTAAGTTTTCTTAGTATAGTAGGTGATTTACCGAGTCAAAAGCTTTGCTGAAATCGGTGAAGGTAACGTCCGTTTGAATTTAATTTGCAACCGTTTCTAATGACAGCACAAAATTCTAGAAGGTTTGTAGACGTTGATCTGTTTTTCATAAAGCCGTGCTGAGAGGGGGACATAATTGACCGACATTGGTGCTGCAGCTGCGCTGTAATCAGAAGTTCGAATAACTTCGGAATAGCACTTAGCTTTGCAATTCCTCTGTAGTGTTCGATATTAGACTAACTGCCCTTTTTATGGAGCGGAATGATGAAAGATTCCCTCCAACTTTCTGGGAAAAATGAAAGACGAAGCGACACCTGCAAAAGAATTGACAGAGGTCGGCATAAAGCACCAGCACAGTGTCTCAAAACACAGCTAGGAACGCAATCAGGACCAGAAGAAAAGGAAGGTTTTAGTGTCTTGAGTATATATAATTTATTTTGTATTAATTCCTAGTAATCGAAGTTCTATCTGCAATGGTATATAAACTTTGGCGTGGACCGCTTGGGCAAAATAAATTTCGTTGCTAGTAATGGATGGTTCGAGAAATTTAAAAAGAGGTCCTTTATTCATAGCCTCAAATTTAAGGGCGATGATGTAGCTGCGGCCATTTATCCGTAAGAAATTCAGGGGTTCATTATAGAGATTGAATTCCTGCCCGACCATTAAATGCGGATGAATCTGGGCTTCTGGGCTTTCTGGAAAAAAATGCCAAATCGAACTTTTTTATCAAAGAATGAAAAGTAGCTGCCAGCTTAAGGCACAAAAATATAGTTTTAGACTTATGCTGTGTAAAACTGCACCAGGCGACTTTCAAGTAAAGACAATGTTTATAAGTCTAGACAAGAGCAAATTACTCGTTTACTGGAAAGTAAATTCCTAAGCTTTGGTAACTACATAATTATTTGAAGACTGGTTCTTGATTTGTCTTATACCTAAGATCAGTGGTCGGTTTCATAGGCCAAAAATAAAAAATCAATTTTTGAGTTTTGAGTTCAAATGTGGCGCGCCTATTAATCGATAAAACAAAGCTTCGAAATCGATTATTTGTTTTGTTTTGCTCCATAAATTCGCGAAGAAAGAAGCGCGCAAAGAGACAGCACAAACGAAGCGTATTTTGTTTATTATAAAAGTTAAATTTAAAACACTTAATTAAAATGAATATTAAAGTTTTTATTAATTTTGTATGTTATATGTGACTATAACATTGAATGTTTGTCGACTGTAGTTTTTCGAGCTCCGTTCAATTAAACATTACTCTTCTGCAAAGGTAAAAAATGTAAAGTCACTCTCGGCTACTAATTAAACTTTTTTGTAAAACATAAATTAACATTAAGTTAGTCTAATTTGCGATAAATCTGCTGCGAATGCGTTTGGAATCCGTTATAGAAGACCCCACACAGAAGCAGAAACTTTACTTAAATACAATTGTAAAAGATTTTCTGTGTATTGGAAGACATGCAACCGTAAAAAAGTTTTTGTAACTAGCAAATACTCCGATTGGTTATCAAAAAAGGACAGCATTTCTCTAATCTTGCAAGCAGAAGAATTAACTTAAAATCGAGGACGGCCTAGAATCAATTTTGTACAGTGTTCTCAAAGGACAAAACGACGTCGTGTTGGTGAAGGTAGAGAATTAAGTTAGTCAGCTGGAAATGATTTACTTTCCGCAAGCCTACAAGAAAAGACCTCAATTAAACCTGCTAAAACTTCTTCTGTAATCGACCTTATAACAGATGCAAATTTAACAGAGCACAGTACCTACTTATAAGAAGTTTCATCAACACAACAATAGATGCAGAGTTTTTACCGTGTTATGACAGCATTTTAAAAGAAAACAAGAAAGGAAGCTAACTTCGGCACGCCGAAGTTTATATACCCTTGCAGACAGAACTTCGATGATAAGTAATCCATACAATATAAATTATTTATATTTATGTTAAAAAACAATGAAGTAATGCCTGCTTTCATTTCACTCACCTATACATATTATATTTGCAGTTTTACATTCACAGATTTGCATTTTTGCTCCACATCTAACGACCGTTTGTATGGTACCAATTTGATATAGTCTTTTGATTTTCATAAAATTTGATACAAAATGACTATATCTCAAATTTGATGCAAATCTGCTGAAAACTGAAAACGTTTAAATTTTTTATTGTATTAATTTCTCGATCGTTTCTATGGGAGGTATATGATATAGTTGTCCGATTTTCATAAAATTTAACACAAGATTTTAAAATAATATAAATTGGCTATATCTCGAATCTGATTAAATTCTGTTGAAAACTGAAAGTGTTATAATTTTTTTTGTAAAAATTTTCCGATCACTTCTCTGGCAGCTATATGATATAGTCGTTCAAACCGTCCCGTTCCGACATATATACGAGTGAGAGTATATAGAAGACTAACTACAAATTTTCATTCAGATAGCTTAAAAACTGAGAGACTAGTTTGCGTAGAAACGGACAGACGGACATGGCTAGATCTACTCGGCTGTTGATCCTGATCAAGAGTATATATACTTTATATAGTCGGAGGTGCCTCCTTCACTGCGTCGCAAACTTCTGACTGAAATTATAACACCCTGCAAGGGTATAAAAAGAAAAGCTACACCGATAACATAACTATCACACAAAAATTCAGAAGCCAACACACACGCAAATTGTCTCGTGTTTTGACAAATACCGACTTCTTCAATAGATTATTATTAAGTTCTGATCCGTATATATCTGGGCAAAGAAAATTAAAAAGCAAAAGGTCAATTTCAGATGAATCAGTTTTCGATTTGCTTGAGTAACGATTTTTAGTTTATATTACCTAACATATTTCTTCTTTGACATACATATTTACTTATTTTCAACTACCATATTAACTTAATTCATCTGTATTTGTTAATCATCCTTTGTTCATTATTTAATTAATATAAAGTATTTCATAAATATAATCGTTGAAAAAAAGCTGATAAAATGTGTTGCGTGCATTTGTCAAATTTTATAGCTTTCACTGTTGTTTCGATATTGGGGGATAGAAAGTGATTGATGGTGCTGATATTTTAAATATAATATTTTTACGCAATTATATTTCTACAAAAAAATTTCAAGTCGGTATCTCTACTAAAAGTATTTTTGGCCACCATCTCCACACGTCACCGACCACTGTACTGAGGTTGAAAAATACACATTAAAATAAAAGAAATTACACTTTAAAGCACTATTACTGATGGACATCCAAAAGATTTAATTCATCCGAATATTAAAATAAAATCTCGCCCAACTAATTAATACATCTTCACAAAGGTACAAGGTACCGCCATGGATCCCCCCAAAAATAAAGTCAACCAGGCTGACCCCGAAAACACAAGTTAAATACCTGGGCACTGTACTGGACAGCAAGCTGGCATGGAAACCCAATGTACTAGAGAGGGTGAAAAGGCCACCATTGCGCTATATGGATCCAAGAAGATGCTCAGCAGCACATGGGGTCTCTCACCCGCTCTGATGCACTGCTATACTCTGCTATACGGGGTCTTAGTGTGGTGCCAAGCCATGGAAAAGAGGACCTACAAAATGCTAATGGAAAGAACCCAGCGGCAGGCAATGCTCTGCATATCTGGGGCGCTGAGGTCAACCCCTACAAAAGCTCTAGAGACGATACTTGGAATTGATCCCCTGGACACAGTTCAATTGGTCGAACCATGAGCAGTGTATGTGACTACATGACGCCTAGAACTTGCCCGGATGTGAAAACATCAACATTTAGGGGACCTGAAGACTGGAAAACGGTTCAGGACCACGCTCGACACCTCAATATTTACACTGACGGCTCCAAGATGGAAGGAGGAGTTGGAGCGGGCATACACTGTACAGACGCCGAGATGAGGCTGTCGTATAAGCTACCAAGCCATTGCAGCATATTCCAGGCGAAAGTCTTCGCCATCAAGAAGGCGGCAGAGCTTGCGCAGGAAGTAGGCCGCCCATGTGAGGCGGTAAACATGTTCGTAGACAGTCAGGCGGCGATTAGATCCATGCAATCGTCAGCGGTCAGTTCCAAAAATGTACTGGCAAGCAAGGACGCACTAGATATCCTGAGCACGACAATGTCAGTGCGGATCTACTGGGTGCCCAGCCACCAGGGCATAGAAATCGCTGACGAACTGGCAAAGGAAAGAGTCGGACTGTCTGTTGATAGAACAGAAAACGTCCCAGTCTCTCTAAGAACCCTCCAAAGCGAGTTAGGGAGACGGGCGGACGTACGAGCAAAAGCAGGTGGAGAGGAAACTCTGCGACTTGCAAAACAACTAAAATCATGTGCAAAGAGCGCAATGACAAACTCAGCCACTACGTACTGCATCTATCCCGAAAAGACTGCAGACTTCTAGTGGGAATGCTTAAGGGTCACTGCCTGACTGCCGCGCATGCAGTCATCCTGGGCATCACCAACAACGGCAACTGCAGGAAATGCGATGAATCTGAGGCAACCGAAACCTTGGAGCATCTCATCTGTAAGTGCCCAGTCCTAACGCAGGCAAGAGTAAAGCACTTAGGTGCCCCAGTACTGGCATCACTAGTAGATGCCTCCAAGAGGTCGCCAGGTGAACTACTTGCCTTCGCGAAAACTACCGCGATCCTAAAGGATTTCAACACCGCGTAAGATTCTCAAGGACCAAGTAAAAATAACATCCGGATAAAAAAAGGGCATACTGGCAAATGATTGGCCCCCTCAGCATGGCCGTCCGGTTTAACATAACCTAACCTAATTAAAACATCACTTCTGCAGCCAATCAGGGTATAATTTACATATAGACATATAGACATATTACACTATGCGCTCTATACGCTAGATTTTGGATACACTGATACTGACTCTATCGATGTAACTATTGCTTGGAAGAAGCTTTTTATGAAAAATAGCCTTGAGTTGGTAAACTTATCTTTAAAATAGATGAGGGCTGCTAGAGAAAATTATAGCCACAATTCGAAATCAGATTATCCGATCAATTTAACGATAGAAAAGCTCCAAACAGGATTCATTTAAAATTCAGATCCGTTCATTGAAGGACGATTTAAGTTTAAGAGAGAGTTGGAAAAAATACTTTTGTCTTATAAGGGGTGCCATAAAACAGATTTCAAAGCCACCAAACAATTGAAAATTATGATTTTTTTATAAGCAGCCACCAAAAAGAAAACATGTTGAAACAAACTGGCTTAAAACATAAATGCCACCAAATGCATTTCAAATTTGATATGAATAAAAACATATGACCCTCCTACTTTTTAACATTTTAAAGTTTCTATAAAGGTGGGCAAGGCGGTAAGGTATTTTATGTTTTTTTTTATTTTTATATTGAATGAATTTTTTATATCTGAAGAATATTGTGCCAAAATGGCAAGGCAATTAAAACAAAATTGACGAAGTAATGACTATTTTTATACTTGTCGGATTTTCGTTTTAAACTGGAACTACTGCACCGACCCTTTTTAAATTTTAAACACTATTTCTGTACGAACGTAACGAGGTAACGCTGTCGACTTTTTCATCTTTATTAAAAATTTTGATTTTACAATGACAAATTAGACAATTTCTTCTCAAAAAATCGTGTTTTTCACTTCAAAGCTTTCGAAAAGATTCAAAAAATGGAATTAAAAAAAACTCGACAAAGTTACCTGGGGTATTATATTATCTAATGAAGGAATTTCGGTTTTTTTATTTCCGATGTTCCGGAACCGAGTAATGATTGGCACCACAATTTTCGATTCGAGATTTTTTTTGAGAAACGTTCGTAAAATTGCCGTCCGGTTTAACCAAACCTAACCTACGAAGCCAAGTGACTTTGACTATGCTTTTCTTACTTATTTTACGGTTGTGTTCTTAATTTGTTTATTGTTTCTTATATACGTTTAATTTAAAAGGATTTTCGTACCTGATTGTTTAAAGGCAGCGTGAAGATCTTCATTTGATTTTGTAAAGTACTGGGCGATAGAGTCAACGGCTTGTGGTGTGCTTGTGTTATTAAAATGGGGTTTGCTTGCTGGCTAAAATTACTATAAATTTTTGGTAAATTCGCTTTTGACTTTTCCAAATTTTTTATTTTGTTATTATCACTAGCAATTATTAGTTCAACGCCGTTGGACATAATGTGAGTGGCTAGATTGTATCTCGCTTCATCCCAGATACTTTCATTAAGACGAACGCTGATGTCATCCTTGATGTACAGGAATTGCTTGCTGGAGCCTGTATTTATAAAACGTTACTGTTTACCTTATTAACTCAGTTTAAAAATCTATTTTAAAATTATATTATACAGAATTGAAGTAAATTTTTGAGATAGTACCAAAAAACACAGTTTTTTATATAAAATTCTTGTCCTGCCCTTGAAAGGTTTTAAATCACACAAACTTGGGTATAACTGAGTCAGCTTCTTTATTGTATATAAAAAAAGGAATTTCAATTAAACATTTTTTTAATATATTTTTGTAATAGTTTATATTTATTTATTATAGTAAATATTAGTATTATATTTATGGTTATAAATATTTACAAAATACAAATTCAATTATATGTAAATGGTAAATGTATATTGAAATAACGTATTCTTTATTACTTCCAAACTTGGACATTATTACATATTACATTTACAAACCTCTTGTATATTTATTTATGTATAAAAAACTAATAAGCTAATAAACAAATTAAAACTTAAATAAGTAAAATGTAATTACAAATATTACAACCTACAAAATCATCGAATATACGTTTGAGAATGTTTGTATTTTCTTATTCGATGTTTTGTAATTTTGAAGTTATTTTTTTAAACCATAGTAAGAAATGTAGAAAAACCGTGTTGAAATAGAAAAATTTGCTGAGATGAGGAAATAGTGACAGAGCGATTCAGAAATTATTAAAATTGTAAATAGAATATAACTAAGATCTTGTGTGAATTTTGCTTTAAATTTTCTATTTTTTATCTGATTTATAGAACTACCATTATATTTGTTTTTTCATTTAGAAATATGTAGTTGGTGTTTATGAAGGCTCCTGTAGGTATTTCCTTTCTGTAGATTGACTAGTTTTATCGGACACCTTCCAAAGGGCTTGGGCAGTTTGCTGGCACTAATAATATTTATTAATATTTTTTAAAGTTATGTTCAAGCTTAAGAAATTGTTTTGCTTTTATTATTTATTAAACCAAGATTTATAATGGTTTTTTTTTCTGGTAGCATTGACTGTCGTGTCGATTGTGATAGCCAACGATCAACATCTCCCACAATGCTTTCTAATGATGTTGTTCTTCGGCTTAATTCAGTTGAATCTTCTTCGTTTGGGATTATCTCTTTGCGATCCCTTGATAATAGAGTATTTTCTGGTTGAAATTGATTCGCATTTGTTACATGACTGCTTAAATATGCTTGTCTTTTGTGCAATGAAGCCGAGTGATCATAGCCATTTACAGTCGATAAAACAGTGCTAAATTCCCCGGGTCTACGTCCGGATATATATAAAGTTACAATGCTTTGTTGGTCCGGTTCCAGTTGTTCTATAATCTCCATGTTTTGATTTTGTTTATGGCGTCTATTGTGACCTCCTCCCGACTTTCTAGACTTTTTTCGCGGACTTTTCGTCGGCTGCTCGGCTTCCGTTTTGATTAACAAATCAGAAAAATCTTCATTTATAGATCGCGTAGCATCCTCTAAGTCCTGTAAATTATTACTTAGGAATACCTGTGGCGACAAAGTCTTAGATATGGCTTGAGCTTCCTGCTGTTGTTGTTGTAAAAGTAGTTGCTGCAATAATAAATTATTTACTTGCTGAACAGACTGTTGTTGAATTTGACTCTGAATCACTGGAGCAGTATTAACTATAGTATCTACGCTATATTCCGTTGCTGTTATTACCTCCGCTGTTGTATCATAGACCGTTGTTAATATCTTTTTGCCTTGAAACGTCACTGGAAGTATAGTAGATTTTCCATCAAAAATCGTGGTTACATATGTGGAGGTGTGAGTTCGATATTCGGTAACGGGTTCAACAGAAGTCGGTACTATAGCTGGAAGGGCACTTGGATGTTGTATTATGGGATGACCTGGAAGGTTAAGGTTACCCAAAAGTAATTGGGATAATAATATATTAGCAAGAGGAGCATTTGCCGAGATTTGTGGCTGGACAGTCGTTACTAGATACTCAACCGAATACGCAGTGGATGGTAAAATGTGCGAAAATGAAGTCTTTCTGCCACGAATAGTTGTTGGTGTAAATATAATCGTACTTGTTATGGATTCATGTAGCAAAAACTTTGTATGCTCTGTAGTTCCAGCATTGTTTACACTCGTTTCTTCACGATTTAAATATAACGAAGTCAATCCATTCGGCCCTGCAAATTGTGTTACTTGATTTTGTCCAACAATTTCGGTGCTGGTTTTAGCAGTAACTATATTTTTATACTCGGTGACGTGTCCATTGATTACTGGTATCATTACTTCGGCAGGTAGAAAATGAGTAACTGTTATTGGTTGAGTTTCCTGATTAATGGCTGGTAGATCTGGGGAATAGTCATTACGATTACGACCTCGACTCCCTCCTCTTCCTCTGCTCAATGCGTTATTCGAGTTGGTATTACGGGAACGGGAAGTATTTATAGATAATCGGCCATTGTCAAAAGTTTTTTTATTATTTCCAAAGTTTCCATAATTTTTAAGTCTTCGATTATTTGAAGTTCCTGTACTTGTAGCTGTACGCCTCAAAGATGTACTTCCACTGGCAGGCTGACGACGAAAGTTGCTACGTCCTGTTGTTGTCCCTTTGGATGTGGGAACATCCGTCTCTCTCAACGTAAACTGTGGGCGCTTTGAGGTGGGTCGAGTGGGACGTATAGACTTATGATTTATAATTGCTGTTGTTGTTTCTGGCGTGTGAAATCTAGAACCAAATCTAGAACTAGTCTTCCCCTTGGATTGAGTGTACTGTCGTCGAGGGCCTCTTCTACTTTTTGATTTGGACTTATAGCAGTAACGTTCTGGCGACGAAAACGAAAGCGACTTCTACTTAGAGGATCTACTTGACGGCGAACTCTAAGTTTAGTTGATCTCTTTTGGTTTTGAAACGTCTGTTGATTACCGTCTTCATCGTCTTCGGAAGAATCATCGTATTCGGAATCAATACCAGTTAAACCTTCATTTGTATTAGACTCCAGAGGATCAATTTCTTTTTGTGACTGGAAAAGTCCTCGGGGTGGAAATAGGCTATTTTGGGGCCTTGATCTATTTTGAAGGCCAGATGGTCGTTGGAACGTGAAGGATTTTGGTTTTGGGGTTGTTGTTGATGTTGTAGGGCTTGTAGCAGGCGAAGGTTTTGATCGTAACGATAATAGTGGGTTCTTTCTTAAAGAAACTCCAGGGGAAACGCCAGAATTTTGTCTTGTTGTTGGACTGAAGCCACTGGGCTTATTTATTGGGCGTCGAAACCGGAGCAATGGATTTTGGTTGCTTCTCGTTTGCTTTTCCTCTTCGTCCTCTCCGCTTATTTCCTCCGTTAAGTTTCCTTCATCTTCGTTACTAATCTGACTAGAACTCGAGACCGCTTTTGATTGTGCGTTTATGGACAAAGTTGATCCCAAACTAGTTGGCCTTACTCGTAACTTGGGGTTATTAATTATACCAGAAGCCCGAAATCCTGGCGCTATTGATGGACGAAAAGATATGTTTGGGCGACGAGAACTTGTAGCGATAGGATTGGATCGTGAAGATGATACAAAACGGTTTCGAGAAGGTTGGAAAGAAGCCTGGCTACCAGATTGATCAATGGAATTACTTAACGATTTTGATGGACGACCGAAGAGGCGTCTTGAAGATTGAGACAAGTTGGATTCGCTTGGATTTATAGGTGCACTAGAAATAATGCCACGTCGAGAAGAGATATATCTACCTCCAGAAGATGACTTTAAAGCCGGCGTAGCAGTAATTGTTGGTGTAATGTCCGATCTGGTAATTATGGTGGCACTACTTGGGCTAAGAGTTTTCTGTTTTGGCGCATAAGAAGGACGATTTCTTGAGGCAAATGGTCTTATCACGGGTGCAAATGGACGCTGTGGCACGTCTCCTCTAGTAACCTCGTCATCTTCTATATCCGCAATATTTTCTTTATTTCCTATTAAGGACTTTGTTAATTCAACTTTTTGTGTTTCCGGTTCGATTGATGATTCTTCAACACTGGTTGCTATTACTAATTCATCAGTTTTAGCCTTTTCATAGAGAAAACTAGATGTACTCTCAATGATCTGTGCATAACGATTATCGATGATGGTTCCAATAACCTTTGATTGATATAATGTTGTTGTATTATTTTGAATACGTTTACCCTCAATAAGCCGAACCAATCCGGTTTTATACATTTTTGAGGTACTTGAACTATATATTTCATCGTCTTGTGTGCTTAAATTAGACTTTTTAGCTTCATCGACATGTAATCGGGAAGTGCTGCTCGTAACTTCAATATTAGAACCATCAAGGTTCATTGAAGAGACAACTTCAGTGGTAAAATACAAAGTGCTTACTTCATCAGCATCTATGATGTGTTTATAATCATACAAAATAACATTCGGATTTTTAGTGATAGGTATTATTTGCTGTTCGGTTGAAGTTACGGAAATGCTGGGTTCAATGTCTGATGGAGTTGAAAGGTAGGACGTTACCACATTGGTAACAGTCTCTAAGTTAGAAGCAATTATTGTAGAATTGGCTTCATAGGAAGTTGTATAATAGGTATATGTTGTATAATAAGTGGTAATATCAGTGGAGGAGCTGGAGGTATGAATTACATTACTAACAGCTTCGGTTGTTTCGTTTGTAGCTTTATAGGGATATGATATTTCAGTACCATTATTCTTGGGTTGTATAACATTATATAATGTCTCTTCCCGGCTTAATGTTGTAATCTCACCATCTTTTGCCAACTTTGTCCAATAAGTGTAAGTTGTAAAATAGGTAATAGGAAAGGAGGCATCTTCAACACTCAAATGTTTCGTCGGCTTCAAGGTTTCAGTAGCCACATTAGTCACAGTCTCCAAGCGACTAATAATATTTGTATCATCGCCCACATACATGGTGGTATAGAAGGTAAATGTGGTAAAGCTAGTTTGTAAAAGCAACGTTGCCGATGGCATTATTTCATCATGATCATTACTCTCAGAGCTAACCTGATCGTCCAGAGGTGTTTTCTGAATAACTCTGCTTAACTCTTTATGATTTTCACTTGTATGTTCTACAAGATTTACTTGACTGTTCTCATAAGTACTATTTTTTTCGATTGAACTCAAAGTATTACTATCAGTTAAAAAATTTGTAATCACTTCCGTTCTGGACGTTATTTCCGTATCATTATTGGTAAATATGGATGTATAATAAGTATATGTTGTAAGTAGAGTTTTGGTATATATATTATCATCTAAATCAATGTCAGTTATTGACTCTAAGGACATTCCAGTTTCCGAACTTAAAACGTTCACAATATCCAAAGGTATTGTATACTTGGTAGAAATTGATGAGCTGTTAATATCCTGCTCTTCAAGTGTATTTTTGATCGACACTAACTTCGTTTTTCCCACATCAAGTGTTGAGGAAATGATATTTGTTATAATCTCTGTATGGCTAGATACCGTTGTCTGTGAGCCCTCAAAAAATGTAGTCAGATATGTGTAGGTCGTGTATAAAGTTTTATAAATCAAATCAATCTCCTCATTATTGCCATCGTAATCATCATCTTCCTCCGTCTCAGTCGTAACATCATAATCCTCAACATTTTTAGCTGTGGTCTCATCTAGATCATCTATTAACTCTGTGGGCATTAACTCTTCATGCATAGATTGTATTGAAGTATCTACGGATGCCATGATAGTATTATTCACGACTTCTTCTGCAGCTTGAATGCAATAGTATTTTGTGGTTTCAACAACATTAAAGGCCAAAAATGGATTGGAATCGTTACTAACTTGGATTGATAATGATTTTGGTATTTGGGTAAGAAATACTTGAGATGTTAAATGATTGTGATCACACGATGGCTCATTCAAATCATCTTGGCTTGATTTAATAACTGATGAATCAATTATACTATTTTCCAAAACTGTAGTTATAATAGTTTCAAGCATTTCTTCTGTTTTTGTTATTTCAACACTCGCATTAGAGATTTGGTCAGTTTTAAGTTCTACGAAATTCGTGAAAGGATCATCATCAAGAAAAACAGTTGTAGCACCACCGTTTTTCTGATTAATTATTATGTGTGAACTTTTATCGCTTGGAATTAATTTTGATTCGGATTGTGTGCTTAAAATTTCAGTTGGTATCACATGGACCATTTCCTGTAATAATGATGTACTAGCCACAGGTTCTTTTAGCCAAAATGTACCTGAAACTCCGTCTTCTAAAGAAAATATACTAGCTACACTTTCTTCTGAAGATAATGTACTAGCTAAACTTTCTCCTGAAGAAAATGTTCCAGCTACACCTTCTTCTAGAGAAAATGCACCAAATTTATCTTCTTCCAAAGATACATTATTAACACTAGGTGTTGTAGAAAAGGTTATCTTCTCAGCTGAATTCGCTCTGGGACTCGAGTTTAAAAATAAATCAGATTCCAGACTTAGCGTAGGCTTGCCTTTAATTGACGTTACGTGTCCAAAATTTAAGCTGCTTTGCGTGGAGCTCGGTGAAAAACAATGACACTGTCTCCTACTATTGTAGTAAAATCGGCGAATCCATAATAGGTTACACTGGCCAAAACACGTTTTGAGCCAGGAGATTCCACATTTTTTGCAATACGGTGTTGTTGAATTTTTGATACATTTTCGTGGAAATGCCTAACATTATTATTAACAGTAAATGTTTCCAAGTGATCTGTTAATTTAGTTATTTCATCCTTCGAATTTTGTTCCGTCGATGTTGCAGTTATATTGTGGTTTGCAAGTGGCTTGTTGACTTGAACTGAACTAATTGAATCGTTAACCGAAGATAAATAGTTTGTGGTTTGTATTCCAACAAAATCCGTATTGCCCACAAACTCGTCAAGATTATCGTCTATATCCTGCCAGTCGACCACGTCGTCCATGTTGAATAGTTCGTTGTGATTCTGCAGAGACAGTGTCTCGCCCCCTTCGCCAACCCAACTGGTGACCACTGATGGTGCCAGTAAGTGTTCATTGTCATAAAAAACTCGAGAACTCTTTTTCAAATACTGCGCGTAAAGTTGGCCATTATTTAATTTGGTCCCAACCACTTTTGTGGCAAATTCCGTTGTTATTCCACTCTGTATGAATGTCCTTACTGTTGAAGTTAAAAGACCAATTTGGGGTCGTACAGTCAGGAATCGTCCATGGTGAGCACTATTATTTACCAAAAGTACAGTAGTTACATCTTATATTGGTTCAGATTTTTTGCAAAATATAGGAATTAAGAGTAAACACACAGACCAAAATATTTACATAGTTTTAACAAAATGTACATAGATAAAAATATTTATGAAAGTTAAGAAAATAAGTGTTCCAGAATGTACATCCCAAAAAGATGGTGAAATCATAGAAAGAAAATAGAGAAAATGTGAATAAGAAATATATAGTTATTACCTCTATATTTTATTGCCGAAAAATATAAATAATGACTTAATTAAAGTCTGTATGTACGAAAATTCGTAGAATTCTTACCATCAGCGCCGAGCGCTGGCAGTATTGGTGTTGGGGTCACTTGATACGATTGATCTGAAAATAACATAAAACATTTAAAGAACAAAAAATAATTTTGGCGAATCGTACACTAAAGCTAACTTTATAGATTTATCTGGCAAGTAAAACAAAATATAGCACCCAATATCGAAAATAACGTTAGCGGAAAGTTCAAAATATGGGCAATTTTCCAGAAAGATTAAAAAATTATAACATAAAAACTGTTTTTTTTTTTGCGAATCTCACACAAAGATTACAAAAAGGAAATATAAAAGGCACAAGGACATATGCGATAACCAATATTCGTACAGTTTTAGTTTATAGTATCGCTTTCTAAAATGTCGCGTGCGACCGGGACTAAAAATTAATTTTTAAAATAACTGCTTAATATTTTAAAGTCAAACAAAATACATTATTCAATAAATTTATTACATAATTAATTACAAATTATTGCATTACAATTTTTCATCACGTTTCAAATATTGTAAAATTAAAATAAAGTCTTGGCACATGTTTTTTTTTAGTTTGCAGACGTACGAATATCGCATTCGACATTAGAAAATTATTCATACATATATAATAACTTGTGTTATAATATTGAAAACTATAAGAAAAAAGGTTACTGTTTTTATATTTACATATATTTACGACTATATATGGGTCCAACATATGTCAGGAAAATTAAATGAAAACTTATGAATGCGTTAAATTAAATGCATTATTTAAATTGTCCAGTATTTTAAAAACCTTGCAGAAAAGTACTAAATCGATCACAGGAAAAATGTTATGGGTATTGGAACGGAGGTAGTTAAGTGTTCAATGCATCTGCATTAAAAACTTTAAGGCACTTTTCTGAAATATGCCATTTTGAATCCTGTACCCATAGTTTTAAGTCTTGGCACACAACTTCAAGTTATTGTAACTCTAGAGTAATTCTCACGTCCGAATTAATTTTTTTATTATATGTTTTATTTAAGAAAATAACTTCTTTTTAATAATAAATATGGGATTAGACTCAAAGTTTTATAGAGTTTGCCTTTGTCAAACTTAAAAGTTGATTTCCCATCTCTTGTGTTAAAAATTCCCATAAGTATTTACCAAATTGAGGTGGAAGACCAACGGTTCAAAAACCGGTTTTGCTTGTGTATATATAATGTGTATATGGCAAGTCTTTCTCCGTAAACCAAAAGTTCGAATATTGGTCTCACTCAATTTCTAAAAAAATTAAATTTATTTATAAGAGCGCAGTACACTTACCGTTTATTAGGGAAGCTGCACTGTGATGTCCTATAGTTAACATTAAGCTCGTTAACAGAATTAGCGTCACTTTATTACGCTGACTATTAAAATTTAATAATAGTTTCATTGTGCTGATTGGTCGATAACCAGTTATTCCTCTGGTTTCACGTGGCTCTAACATTTTTATAGTTTCTTTTCGAAATAAATAAAATAATTTTTAGTATTTATACTTTTTCATAAGTTAGGTAAAGGCGTAATCTAATCCACTATTATATCAGACAGGACTGCTTTGATAAATGATTTCAAAATTCAAATTATATTCGTTAAACTAGTTAGTTATTAACTTGGCTTTTATAAATGTATAAGTTGTAGTGATTTGTTTTGGAAATGTGACTAGCAAGTATCTGTCATATATAAATAATTAAGTCTTGACACAAGCCTCTCTTACAATTTTTGGAGGAGGAACCACTCAACGACCATCCGTAGAAGCGAAAGCCAGAGAACTGATTTCCCTGAGACGAAAATACAAAAAAAACTCATCCGGTTTATTGCTTAGCTTGAAACCACAAATGTGGTTTGTCTGGTTTTGGCCAACCAAAGCTTTATACCTCCATTCCCAATCAAACAATTGATTACACTAACAGCTTTAACGACTTTAAGTTGCGTAAAAATAGCATATAAAAATGTATGTATATAATAATAATGAACATGTATTAATTTATAAAAGATTCCTGTAAATGGCAAGTTCAAGAGAAAGTTAACTTTTATAGGATAGTATTCAGCAATAGACATTCCTTGTGACGAAATGACTTATAACACATTGTATATAGTTTTATTGGGTTGAAAAAAAGATGAAAAAAACGCCTTTGAGCTTATAGCAAATACTTACTATTGATCAGTTAATATTAGAAATCCATTCAGTAAATGTGAGCTCAAAGTTATTTGTGTGCATTTATTTTATTTAACAAGAAAAATCCCTACTTCTTAAAGTTAAATAATTAAAACTAATATTAATATGAATAAAAACAACTTTAATTTATTTTGTTGGTATTCATACATCCAAACTGATTTTACCAATATTACATTTAAGCCATTTCGTATTTACCTCAATAATTACCTGCCTTTAAGTAACACTTAACAAAATAAATTTTAAACACTAGCATATTTAAGTACAAAATATTCTTGATTACAATGGCAGAAGCTTACTCTAAAAATCATACAGCTAATAATAATACGTTGAATTCTTCTTCAAAATGAACTGTTTTCCACATTAACCTACGTATTATTTAGTTGACGATGCCTAAAAAAATCCTGGAAACTTGCAATTTTGCGGCGGATCATTGCTTTGCTCGGCTCCCAAATTAACGTAGTGCTGTTGTTCGTCTTCCCATTCAATTATATCATTGGGCTGCTCGTAAACCTCATTTATTGGCGGCCAATTAACATTATTCAATACATCATACTCAAGTCTCATGTACTTTTGTTTGGATGTTATCCAGTTCTGATCACGCTTCACTTGATACTTTTTAAACACCAAATATTCAACGAGAAAAGTCTCCACAAAAACATGACATATAAAAGCTGCCAAGCCATATAATAACATCACATAACGAAAACTCATTACCGGAGGTACGACTAGTTGAAAAAAATCGGCTATCCATTGGCTCGGATAAACAGTTAAATAGATAATTACACATAAATTTATAATAAATGCAAAACATAGTGGGTAGTTTGACCATAGTGGTTTACGATACGGTGCACCTTTTGAGAAAACAAAGGCAAGGATTATATATTGGAAACTGGAAATGCAAAACATGGTATAGTTTTCATAACATCCCAAATGCTCTTCATCCGACTGGGGCTGAAAGGGTTCGAACCAGGGCTGAAGATGCAAGTGGAACCACCCTGAAAAGAGAATGAAATTTAATTGATTATTAAATAAAATTCGATTAAAGTTAAAGAAAAAGAGAACCCATTACACCAAAAGGCGATAGTAAATCGAAACTATAGCCAAATGTTTGTATATTTACATATATGTATGTACAAATCGACTTCGCTTTGAGTAAGTACAAGCTTAAATTTTCAAATACTCTGACACGTCGTTTCAAATATGCGTATACCATACCAGAACGTTTTCAAAGTATTTACTTGAATATAGTTAGATACATTAAATAAATGAAGTAAAATTTTAAAATATATTTTTTTTAAGTTTATCTGGCGTATTAAATAAATGTTATAAAACCGACTCAGAGTATTTTGTATTTTGTACATTTACATTCCCATTTTCCAAGCGATCAGTTATGATATGCGTTATTTTAAGGACTGCATTAATTTTTTTAAAACATTAATATTGTATAATGCTTACCCGTTACCTGAAATCCGGTTACCACAGTTAGATGCAGCAAGAGGGAAGCCAATGGAGTTGAAGATATCAAGGAATTCAGAGGGACCTGCTTAGCCAAATTACCATCAAATGATTCCGTTTTGCCAAAAAAGAAGGCAAATATGGATATCAAGCCGAGATCCACATAAAGATACTGTTTATCCGTTAGATTCGAATCGATTGAATAGAGAATCATAACGGAAATAAATTGAACAAGCGAATAAGCGGCCATATATTTAAAAATGCCAAAAGATGTGACCAGCGCCGCTCGTCCTTCTTTAATCACATTTATGACAGAAGCAATTGTTGGACTTCGTGAGGTAAATGGTGATGCTATCGAAGATTCCGTTTCACTAAGGGAGATGCCAGCATGAGCAACCTTAAGAGCACCACAATCATTGGCTCCGTCACCGCACATGGCCACACAGTAATCCAAATTCTGAAGCTCCATTATTAACGCCTGCTTTTGATCCGGTGACATTCTGGCATAGATAGATCCACGAGTTAATATCATCTGCAATTTTTCTGGAAAATGCTCTTTTATAATTTGCCAAGTTTTGCCATCCATGGCGAAAACATATTGCTTCCTCCAGCTATTATCATCCTGAAGTTTTATACCCACTTCCACATCTGTTACATCGTTATGTGTCCAGGTTTCTGTGGTTTTAACACTGGCCAAACTTTCACTCGTGGGAAGGACAGTGATTGTGCTCGATGTACCATCGTTATCATCATTCTTGGCTAATGAATAAGATGATAAATTCATGGTCAGTTTTCCATTACATTCCACATGCGATGGTGATATTTTACTTCCCAGATCCAAGGTATACTGCAGCCTAAATTGCTGATGCAGACCTTCATTGGAATTATTAGTACGTTTAGAGGAACCAGCTCTCGCAGTTTCTGCTGGATTAACATTATTAGTGTGGCCTACTGCATCAGCGTGAACTGTTATAACAGCTTGCGAAGTCGTAACAATCCCACAATCCCGAGCTACACTGATCGCCGTTAAAATATTATCACCCGTAATCATTATAGTGCGTATCTTTGCGGCATTTAATGCATTAATAACTGGCGCAGTATCCGGTTTCAGGCGATTCTCGAGTATTACGAAACCCAAAAATATTAAATTCGATTCAACGTCCTCCCGGGCTAGTCTCTGAACTTTCGTATAATTCATTTTAGGTGATAAAGCCTTAAAGGCAATTGCAATAATTCGATAACCTTTTTTGGCAAAAGTCGATAGTTGTTGCGTATAGTCTTCAGGCAGACTCTGAGGTATACACAATTTCTGTAGCATCTCTGGTGAACCTTTGCAATAAACATTAAAAACTTGTGAGCTAAGACAGCGGGTAAGTACCGACATTCGTTGTAAACTGGAGGTGAAGGGAAATTCCCGTACGATTCCATGATCAAAGGTTCGTTGAGTATGGGAAATTCCAACGGAAGCCAATAGATCATCAACCGAAGATTGTCGCTTAATTTCTTTGGTAATGTTTTTATCATTATCGGTTTCGTTATCGTTTACTATTCTTGGCTGCCTTAAAATGGTTGGATAAAGCAAACCGTATTTCTCATTATCTGGTATATTGCTTGAATCTTCTAGAGTCCAACCCGTGGACTGGAACATCTTTAAGTCTAACGGATCTCCCATCATAGTGCCGTTCATTACGGTAATCGAATGACAAGTGACCATTCCAAAAAGAAAATGATCGTAAGGCAATCGTTCGATGTTCTTTAGTGGAATTTGAAATTGATTGGTTGATGATTTTGGTAAAACGCCCCACATATCTAGGCCATCTTCGGTTAGTGTTCCGGTCTATAAGTAATACATAATATAAAGATAAAAAATGTGTTAATGAAAATACAGAGATGGAATATCTCCTGTATTTCGTTTGGTTTAGATACAAAATGATGACTAAACTAGATTACCAACCTTGTCAAAGCAACAGCAATTAATGCTTCCAGCCACATTGATCGATCGTGGCGATATGCAAAATATTTCGCTAACCTTTAAACGTTTCTGTGCATAGAAACGTCCAACCGTCATAGCTGCTGGGAGGGCTGGAGGAACAACAATGGTGATCAAATCCAAAGATTCAACAGCTATTTTAACAGGATCTGTGCCACGTAATATCTGAAAATATATTAATAAATTTGTTTAATAAGTATTTCTTTAAATTGTGTTAGTAATATAAAATAAATTATAAGAAAAACAAGAAAGGAAGCTAACCACGGCACACCGAAGGTTATATACCCTTGCAGATAGCACTTCGATCACTAGGAATTATATTTATGTTAAAAACTAATTAAGAAATGCCACTTATCATTTCATTCACCTATATATTTTACGTTTAGCACTATAATTGGTCGATCGATTTTGGGCCCTTGTTCGTTTCCAAGATATTGACTAAAATTTAATAAATTTCGCACGCGACAAAAACTGATTCTGATTTAGCGAAGCGTGATGAAAAATTGAAATACAATCATTTTTAAATTATAAAGCAGTTATTTTTTAAATTTCTTTTTAGTCCCAGTCGAACGCGACATTTTAGAAACCGATAACTTAAAATACAACAGTACGAAGTTTTAATTGTATTAATTTTTCGATTGTTCCAATGACAGATATATGATACAGGTGTCCGATTTTAATAATATGTTACACAAAATTGTAGAATAATATAGAATATATATTAAATTTAATAAAATTCTGTTGAAAACAAAAAAAGTTATCATTTTTTTTCGGAAAAATTTCCGATTGTTCCTATGGCAGCTATATGATATAGTCATCCTAACTGGCCCATTCCGACATGTATACGAGTGAGAGTATATACATATGTTGATACTGATCAAGAATACATATACTTCATTTGGCCGGAGGTGACTCACTGCGTTGTCTGAATGAAATACCCTGAAAAGGTATAAAAATTGGTGCTGTTCTTTTTATTCTGTCCTGTTTTATACTGTCCAATCGAAATATTGCCAAACAGATAAATCCAAGGGCATTTGGAAAAAAATTGCAAAGGAAAAAAGTTACTATATGTTTTAGCGATTAGCTAAATTGTAAGAATTGCTTCGAATTTGAATAAATCTGCCGCAAAGACTAAGGAATTGGCTGGACTAAAAACAAGCCTTTTAACTGCTCAGCGTAATATCAGAAATGTAGAACACCTAGAACACACTATACCTTATAGTCGAGAAAGGGAAATAATGGTGTGTGGTTATAGAGAAGAGCTGACATTATTTTTTCCGATCAGCAGATGAACGGGAATTTCCTCTTTAGACAATTCTCCCTATTCTTGATTGATTATTGATCAGCATTAACAGCACAGTAGAGCTAGCAGTGTTCGTCAATTGAACGTTGATGCACTACGGTCAGTATGTTCAAGTGTCCCGTATGACACCAGGCACGTGCCTGTTTGGGTTAGGTGTTAGTAGGCGCGATGAAATATATAGGACAGAATACGAGGAAATTGACTACCGGCGTCAATTGAAATTGAAATTGATTTACTAAGTGTGTTAGTATTAAAGATTTTAATTTGGAAAGACTTATATGAAACTTAGTACCTTAGTTTTAAATGAAATGTTTTAGTTAGTTTTAAATGAATGAATGAAACTTTACAGTCGGACCGGGATATCCAATTCATCTCGGTCCGACTGTAAAGTTTCAAAGACTATGTCACAAGCTGTTATAACAACGATCGGATATTCAACTTTGTTTTTCCAAATATGTTTATCTACTTCGAGGCATAACTACATTTATTGTTTTAGAATTCTTGTTTTTAATGAACATCGGACGACTATATCATATATCTACCATAGGAGCAATAATTTATATTGTATTTGGTATGAAAAGGTTGTTGTAATCTGTAAGGCTACTGCCAGTATATGCACAGATTATCTACGACGGCAAAACACTAAATTAAGTTACTTACTTTGGTCACGAGCGTATAAATAAATCCAATGCAAGCGATTACGGCTAGAAACTGTATAAACTTGTACGAATCCTGCTCGAATTTATAATCCACAGGCGGCGGATATAAAATAGATCTAATTAGCTCTCCTTTGGCCGTTATATTTCCAGTATTTATAACAAAAGCCAATACTTTTTTTGATCCAATATACCGTGTTTGAATAACTTTAGTCCCGCAAAAGAGCGTATGTCGCGCATGTTCCTTTTTGTCATATATAACATCACGTTTTGAGGGCAATGGAGTTTTAGTTACCGGCACACTTTCGCCAGTAAGCATTGATTCATCGAGTATGCAATTTCCAGACAACAATACGGCATCGCATTGCATTGTACATCCAGAGGATGGTATTTCAATAATATCTCCGGGTACTAACGATTCCGTTGGTACTGCCTTGGATGAACCGTGCGGGTCCACAACCCAAGCGTTGCCAGTATTGTAAACAGTTTTGATCAGTACGTCTTGATTCTGAGTGATGGAAAAGTCATTATTTATAATCTTCATTATATATAATAAGCATATATATAACATTTACCTTTTTAGTTTGCAAAACGGAAACAGTTATGCCAAACATGGACATTAATAGTATAACGCAAGCGTAATAATAGTAATCATATGTAAACCATAAGATCACTGAGAATATTTGAAAAACATAAAATGGATTTAAAACTTCCAGGAACAGCAAAGTCTTGGCATCGCGTAGCGGTACAGTTATAGCATTATCGCCAAATACAATACGTCGCGAGAGCTGTTCATCCAAATGTAATCCTCTTTGTTGATGATAATACGAGCAGGAAATATTCAAGTCCAAGCCATTAATCCGGCGAAAAGAATTTTGGGAAATATCCCAAGCGTAAACCAATTGTTTACATCGAAATATTCGAAGGGTTGAACATCCTAAAATCGTAATTTACATATATTATATAATTCACATTATTAATTAATGTGCCATACTTTTAAACTGCGCTGAAGTGAAATGGACAGAAAGGTCCAGGGAATTTTCCAAATCCATGCGGTTGTTTTCTTTGGGCAATAAGTTTCTGTTAAAAAAAGAGACAAACTGAGTTTTATTTATACTTAACGACAACAGTAATAAAACAGGCAAACAGGTTCATTTAACCTCAACTAGTAAAAAAAATTACAATGTTCAAAGGTCATAATACTTTAGAATACATTATTAGCAATGCTCATAGCCGAGTCAAAATATTTTTCTTCGTAATCTGTGAAACGTTAAATTATTAACTTACCTGAGATTGTGTCCGTTCAAAACCTGAATACGCTTCACATGATAAAGTTTGTGTTTGCCTTGATAGTCCTCTGGAGGGAAAACAAATGAAAAAGGATATATTATTGTTTTATTACCACTCTACAAGACAATTTCGACCGTTTCTTTCAATTTTTTTTATAGAAGCAATATGTTTACCAATAAATTAATGAAATTTGGCCATGTTTTTTGTTCAATATTCAAAATATCATAATTTATGCGATAGCGATACTTCTGACCCCCAGCCACTCCCAGTGTCACCATTTTCTTGCATATTCCTAGAAAGTTACTTAATAACTTGTTTAAAAAAAAGTTAAGCAAGAAAGGAAGCAAACCTTAACACAACGATGTTTATATACCCTTGCAGGTAGCACATTCGATTAATAGAAATTAATACAATTCTACAATAATAAAAAAAAGGGATATATCTTAAATTTGAATAAAGTCTTTTGAAAACTGAAAGTTTTAATTTTTAAGTTTATTAATTTCAAATTATGGAATTAAATTTCCACTCGTTCCTATGGCATCTATATGATCTTTTGGTCCATCCGGCTTGTTCCGACTTATATACGAGTGAGAGTAGCTTAAAAACTGAGAGACTAGTTTGCGAAGAAACGAATCGACGGACATGGCTAGATAGACTCGGCTGCTTATGATGAAGAATACAACGTATTTAGAAAAAATCGAATTGTTATAGCTTTTTAAATTAGCTGATTTAAATATTAAAGAAAAGGGATTTTAATATAGCAAAACGAAAATCTGCAATGGTGCATTTCCCTCATGTGTAGCTTTGTTTGTTTTTTTCATACCTTTTATCAACACCTGTTCCGCTTCCTCTAAGGAACACTGGGAGCAAGTGGCAAATAAGTACAAATGCCGCCACCAATGCAACACGAGACGCAAGATACCAGCGGTTAAAAATATACATATCCAGCACAAAGTGGTTCGTATTCGAGAGCGCCGGTAACCTGAAATTTGCATTTGGTCCTCCTGACCTGGATTTAAAATTCCGCCGGTTGTACATGGTTCAGAAGCTAAAAATATTAATTAAATTAAAAAAGTTAGCTTCTGTAAAGTTTAGGTATTTTTTATACATAAAATCTTTTCTTGAACATTTCAACTTTTTGCATTTGTCTGAAGAATTGAATACCTTTCAACGTGTTTCTGTTAATCATGGTACACCTGCCTCGCTACCAAAAAAGCAAATTTTTACAAAGAAATCCAACGATCTTTGATTTTAAAAAATATACACAGAACATGGATGGCATATGTATATATATATGTGCATATGTATGTATGTATTTATTACTGTTACTGTTTAACGGCAAGGTTATGTTACACGGGACTACTTTAAAAAGGGTATTACAATCAAATGGGTTTATTTTTTATGGAAAATAAGTGAATAAGTCTATGTAATACAAACAAAGGTAATACAAATAAAACATATGTATATACAAAGTCGACTAATTAAGGCGCCTTAAAGAACCGATCAGCGAACAGTTCGCAACGAGCTAAAGTGAGCTACAGCAAAGCGTTTAATCAAAAAGGCAACATCAATAGATAAAAACGGAATGATAAGAGTATAGAGCGAGCGCTAACGCACACACTTGTTATTATTTGCCAAGACACTTGTGTATTGCTTATAATTTTTTTATTTCTTCTTATGTATACGTATTTATGTATGTACATATATACATATGTATACATATATATATATATATATATATGCATATGTATGTAACATGTATGGAGAAGAGGGACTGCCGACCATTTAAATATTTTATTAGTATTTTAAAACAAAATTTCTTTTCCACTAAAGTCAAAATATGATAATATGTATATTAACCACAACAATTCAAAGGAACAATAAACATTTTAATAAAAATTAATCGCGCTTTATATACACACAACGTCGACAATAACAAAGCAATCGTATTTATCAATTAATAAACTAAAACATGCATACATATGTATATGTACATTCATATGTACATACATACATGTTAATATTTGTGTACGTTTGGGTAAGTGTACAAAACGCCGTTGATCACACCGAAAAAACTTTGACACAACAATTTTACATATGTATGTATTTATTTGTGAATAAACATGGCAACACTTTTTAATACTCTAGATGAGACTATAATAGTTATGGTATAGAAACTGCTTAGACGATATTTTCAGTCGTTCAGCTACCCGAAACCGCTGAATATATCGACTGAATTACTGAAAAGGCAGTGTGGCTTTTTTTTTTTCATAAGTTTGCAATAAAATGGCTATATCCCAAATTTGAAAAAAAAAAATTTAAAAAAATTTCTAATTCTTTTTCTTGGGAAAATTTACCGATTATTTCTATGGCAGCTATATGATATTGTCAGTGAAGGATTAATCTCCGACCATATAAAGTATATATATTCTTGATCAGCATCAACAGCCGAGTCAATCTAGCCATGTCCGTCTGTCCGTTTCTACGAAAAACTAGTCTCTCAGTTTTATAGCTATCTGAATAAAACTTTGCAGTTAGTCTTCTATATACTCTCACTCGTATGTATATATGTCGAAACAGAATGGATCGGATCAAAAATTTTTTAGAAAAATATCACTTTTCCAGTTTTTAACACATATTCATCAAGTTTGGGATATACCCATTTTACATTATTCTACAATTTTCTTAAAAACTCTGCAAGTCAGCTGTTTGCTTGCTCCACAAAAAATGAAAACTTGCAAGTCATTTGAGCTGCTACGACTCTGGTTGTTCTTAAAATTTGTTTTCAGGCCCAGTCAGTTATTTTTCGTGCCCATGTATGATGTAGATCATTGCTTCTGAGCACTCTGCGGACAGTTTCGGTGTATACATTTGCTCCAAGAAATGTGGCAAAAGCGATGTTAATTTTGGGGGCTGATAAATGTTGGTTTTTCCTGTTTTCTTTACGAATTTTTCTCTCTTCTCTAGCAGTAAAAGCCTTCGGAAGGCTACGTCGCTGAAGATTTCCCAGGGAATTTCGCGATTTCAGTCCTCTCTTACTCTCCCTATTGTTGAAGGACTTCTGTCAAACATCTCACAAAAATATTGAATCGATCGACTCTCATTTTGTAGGTGTAAAATAACTTTTTCTGTGAAAATACGAACACTTTTGGGACTGACTGTATATATATGTATATACATACATGGTTTTTCCGGGCGACATAAACATTTATATATATAAATGTATATATGTATATATATATATATATATAGATATATATATATAGATATGTATAAATAAACAATATATTGTTAAAAGTTAAAAGCTCACAAATCAGACCGGTGTTGAAAATGTTAACGAAAACGATTACATAACACGGTATCAAATGGGCCGATTGATCTGTTTGGCGTATCTTTGGTTTTCAGATACTCGAAAGAGACCCTGCTCTTATACATTTGGCAGTGCATCTTGGAAATTGACAGCGTGTTTATTTGACGGAAGAGACTGCTCTACAACGTGCATCGAAAACCACTTAAACTGAGTTTTTCCAAGTATGTAACCGTCAAGGTATTCCTGGTCAATTCGCAAAGACATTAGTGTATACTGATGTGCCACGATATTTCAGATGGAATAAGCAGTCAAAAAAGTGGGGACCACGAAAGCGACGTTTTCTGGTTGAAGGATAAAACGGCAATTAACGGGAAATACATAAATACAGTCCATCCAAAGCAACGCGAATGTTTCTTGCGGTTATAGTTAGTTAATGTCTCTGGACCCACTGGACCCTTCCAATACTTGCGAACAGTGAATGGCATTATGAACTACACATATCATAATGTGTGTTGCGAATTACATTTGCATTACATTACATTACTTGCCGATGTAGCATTAGGTTCCTCTTCTCATCAAATTCACCAATTATTTGCCATATTGACGACATGTCTTCCATCCCAAGCTTCTGTCCTCTGGGACAAATATAAAGATTCCATGAGCAACGACATTCCGCATCGCATTCGGATCGCTGATAAAGATCCTAATATCGATTTTTAGCAGGAAATGTATAACGAGGCGCTCATAAAGATTGAAGATATTTACGTTATGTTTTTGAATATGCCACTCATAACAATCCATTGGCACTATCATTCTCCATCAATTGCTCAATATCATTGCATAATAGGCATAGATAATTATGCAACATGTTCAAAACGGAAGATGGTTTGATTTAATATTAATATTAAAGCATATTTATATGTATATTTAATTTACAAGCTTATTAATTATATTTTGCTTCTAGAACGAGCTATTTTAGCTGCAAAAATACCGATGTTGACGCTATTAACTTCAAAATCAAATCAACAGACATTGTTACACTTGGTACACTGTTACCGATCATGACGAAGCAGTCAACTATCCTGTTGAACATTTGCATTTAATAGATTTACCAGGAATGCCACCACATAGCTTGCAATTGAAAATTGGTTCATCTATCGTTTTGCTTCGGAATTTAAATGCACCTAACCTTTGCAATAATATTGAACGGTAAATTTGAAGGTGAAGTTGTTCTCCTGCCGCGAATTCCAATGACCCTTCAGACTCACCCCTTCCATTCAGATGTATGCAATTTCCAATTCGCTTGACATTTGCAATGAATATTAATAAGTTACAAGTTCCAACGATAATTTCAGTCAGAAATTTGCAACGCAGTAAAGGAGTCATCTCCGACCATATATATTCTTGATCAGAATCAACAGCCAAGTCGACCTAGCCATGTCCGTATGTCCCTTTTTAAAAAAACTATTCTCTCAGTTTTAAAGTTATCTCCATGGAACTTTGTAGTTAGTCTTCTATATACTCTCACTCGTATATACATACATAAATACATATGTCGGAACGGGCCGGATCGGACTACTATTTCATATAGCTGCCATAGGAACGATCAAGAAATTAATACAATTAAAAATTATACAGATTTTCAAGTAATTAAGGATATAGACATTTTGTGTAATTATAAAATGGCTGTGTTCATTTTTTGACAAAATCGAACGACTTTATAATATAGCCGTCATACAAACGATGAATATAAAACTGTACATATAATATGTGTAGGTGAACGAAATGAAAACAGACATTATTTTGATATTTTTTAACATAAATATGGATAAATTATATTGTATTAATTCCTAGTGATCCAAGTTCTATCTGTAAGGTATATAAACTTCAGCGTGCCGAAGTTAGCGTCCTTTCTTTTTCCAAAATGAAGTCACTTTCTCAGTATGGGTCTTTACAAAAACAACTAAGGCTTTTTATACCCTTGCAGGGTATTATAATTTCAGTCAGAAGTTTGCAACGCAGTGAAGGAGGAACCTCCAACCATATAAAGTATATATTTTCTTGATCAGAATCAACAGCCGAGTCGATCTAGCCATGTCCGTCTGTCCATCTGTCCTTCTGTCCGTCTGTCCGTTTCTACGCAAACTGGTCCTGGCTGGGCCGGATCGGACGACTATATCATATAGCTGCCATAGGAATGATCGGCAAATTTTTACAAAACAAATTATAACATTTTTAGTTTTCAACAGAATTTAATCAAATTTGAGATATAGCCATTTCATATTATTCTATAATATTGTGTAAAATTTTATGAAAATCGGACAACTATATCATATAGCTCCCATAGGAACGCTCGAGAAATTAATACAATCAAAAATGATAACTTTTTCAGTTTTCAGCTGATTTTTATCAAATTTAAGGTATAGCCATTTGATATTAGTCTTAAATTTTGTGTTAAATTTCATGAAAATCGGACGACTATATCTTATAGGTGCCATACAAACGATCGTTTGATTTAGAGGAAAAATGCAAATCTGTGACTGTAAAACTGCAAATATAATATGTATAGGTGAATGAAATGAAAGCAGGTATTACTTCATTGTTTTTTAACACAAATATATATAATTTATATTATATGGATTCCTAGTCATCGAAGTTCTATCTGCAAGGGTATATAAACTTCTGCGTGCCGAAGTTAGCTTCCTTTCTTGTTAATATTTGCATTTGACAGGGGCTGTTTCCTTCTGCCTATGCATCTATAAAGCCAAGTTTCATTTAGCCTTATTGTAACAAGTTTCCTAGTTTCGAGTTGGTTTATCAAAAGTTTCAATCATTATTTTTGAGAGCAGCAGTGTCAGATTTGCTCTTTCGAACAATAGTTCTTTCCAAGCCCTAAGTCGTGTTCAAAGCCTTTGCTTTCGAATATTCTTTTGGGTCAAATAAAAATAACTTATATTGACTATTGCAATGGCATTGTAATGCACTTAATAAAAAAAAAATCCATGATTTCACCTATTTTAAATTGATTCCTTTAGATTACAAATAATCCTACCTATTTGAGCTTAAATGTAGTGAAAATAACATAAATAATAATAACATAAATAAATTAAATTACAAAAAACATAAAATAGAAGAAATGTGATAAAATTAGCTTTTTACATACAAATTTGTTATCAAAGTGTGCCAATTATGTACCTTTAACCGAAATTTCCTGCACGAACTTAAATAAAACAATAACAAAATTTTTTTGTGCCAATTATACGATATACATACATACATACATATGTACATACACGTATGATAAGGCTTAAAATCCGATATGGACGGAGAGACTGACAGACTCGGCCGGTGATGTTCATATGTAGTTATTATTGAAAATTACGGCTAAGTACTCTAGAATGTACATACCATCGACAAGACGGTGCGAATCCTTTAAATATTCATATTCTTCGACATTTTGGTCTAAAATTTCTTCAACTTTGGATTCACTGTAGGCATCGTGATGATGTTCATCGTTAGTTAATAATGTTATTGGATTTGTTTTTGGCGTATTGTTAACACGTCCATTAAGTAAAGTATTATTATTTTCCAACTTATTCTGGTGTCCCACATCCCGCGTTTGAGCTGATGATGAATGCCACCAATTAAGCTTCAATAATTTGTTTTTTGTAGCTATTCCAGAGAGCTCAGGACTATTTTGTTCAGTGTCGAAGTCTTCTAAGTCTCCAAATTGCACATTTTTAGTGACGACTTTCGGCGGTATTGAATTCATTTGCAATGCCTCACTACGTGTAGAGGCAATGTCAGTGACACATAAGTCGTCATTAGTAATCATATTTTATAATAATATAATTATACAAAACTAGGAAAAAAAATATTAGTTTCGCTTTCTACGAAGCTAGCATTGTTAGGTATTTTTTCCTAAAGACGGACCAAAATTTTTTGACTGAACCGTAGTGTCAGCTGAACACTTGCTCTTCCGTAAATATTATTACTATTAAGCAGTTTAGACGATCGCCAACTAATTCCATAAGATTCATTTTAGCACTGTCTCGCTTACTTAATTTATGGAAGAGTATGAAATACTTCCAATGGACAAAATTCACAATTTTAAAGCGCGTTTTCTTGCGCTGCTTTCGTTGTCTCTTTCCACAATAATCTGGGGAGAGTTGATGATTAATCTGTGTTGGATTGTTGGCTGCTTCTGCTGCTAAGGGACTGCTACTGCACCAGCTCCTCCTTCTTAATCATCCCAAACATCATCCAAAGACTCCTCCTCCTCCGCTGCCCACGCGCTTCTCAAAATAAAACTGCTTGATATACTCCTTTTGTAAAATTGCCAAGCTCAGACTCGTCACGTTTGACGGTTGGAGTATCCCGTCGCTGCTGCAAGTCAAGTAGTTAACAGTTAGTGTGAATACACTATAATAGCACCACTTGAACAGCTTGCTTTTTTCCAGTTGCTGCGCCAAATTCATTACGATATTCGATATTCGGTGGAATATAAACTTGTTTCGTTATATTTTCAATTATATATATAATTTTAGTCCGCTGTTGCCTTTTAGGTTTTATAAATTAGAAATTGAATGCCACGTTGTGCAGAACAGTCTATAATTGGTATTATTTTGGAGATTTTTACCTTCCAATAATACATTTATATTACGACTAACTTCTCTACAAGTAGAGCTACATGTCATATTAGCAACGGAGACCATGCAAAGGGCATGTAATCCAATGATTATTTTACTTCTTTTAATCTGAAACGAAAATAAACGAAGTTGGTTAGCTTTTCACATATAATCACATGTTTACATGACGTAATTCAGAATTTTTTTTAATGACAAATCATGGCATATCTATATCTATACATCTTTACATGTATACATCCTACTTTCACATACATTTACTTATATACCACTCACTTTGTACATTAAACTTTTTCAAGGAAATATATACGTACATACTATGTACATACAAAACAGCATTAAAAAAACATTAACTGCAGCGTACTACTCAAGTCAAAGACCCACCTGGTTTCGAATGTTAGACACAATCAACGAATGTGAAGCTTTTAATTGAAAATATGTATGAATCCATGCAAAATATTGCGTTTGGTTATAAATTGAATTAGAAAATCGATATCGAATATATGTGCTCCCTAATAGTGATGATGAAAACATCGATGCATCGAGAACCTATACTTAGTACAGCGATGTTTTCCGGGTTTCCGATTTTCTTGTTAGTATCGATGATTGATAAAATACCCGTCTCCAAATTACAGAAGTCGGTGTTGCATTTACATACACATGAAAAGACTACTCTGAAAGCAGTATAGTTTAAATGTTGTTCCTATGAATATTGTACTTTTGTACTGTACTTTTATATTTTTACTACTATGTATAATATCAACAAAATAGAGCGGCTGCTTTAGAAGCAATAATATTGTTATAATAGTAAGTCCCTATATAAGATTTAACAAATCATTTCACATAAATAAAGTAATAAAATTAAACTTGACTTTTTTTTAATGTATTAGAAAAAATTCAACGAGCTTTTTTGTGTATTTTTCTTGACACCGATGTTCTTCTTAGAAAAGATTTGTTGACAGACATCAGTACTTTTCTAACTTATGTTTTGAAAGTGTAGTTAAAAATTTTCTTAATACTTTTATAAATTATCTACACTTTAATAGCGTCGAATATATTAGCCTCTGTACTTCTAATTTTTTGTGGTCAATTCTGCTTTTTAATGAATATCTTGGTACTAACATGGGATAAATATTCTTCAAGCGGCAAAACTCCATATGGACAATTGTCCAGAAAGCTTCACCGCGGCCAAAAAATTAAAAGTTCTTAAAAGCGAGTATTTTTAGCATGGTTACATCAAAAATTTATCGAATTGATCACGATTAAAAGATTCAAAAAGAAATTTCGAAATAATCGATGTCAAGCACGCGTAAACGCAATTTATGTTATTTGTATACAAAAAGGGCATGTTTGTGTCTTGATGCAAAGTCAGTATAAAATGCAAGAGGATATATGCATAATTCATTACAAATTATTGTATTAAAATGTTTCAACACGCTTCGACAAAATCAGAGCTTAAAATGGTATCTTGCAAATGTAACATTAGTGTTTGTCGCGTGCGAATGCAGTTAGTGAATATGAACAAGGGCCCGATCTTAACACCAAGAGCAATAAGTTTCAAATTTTGTAAAATTAAAATAAAGTCTTGGCACATGTTTTTTTTAGTTGTAATTATCAAAAAAGGCTCCGAAAAAAAGAAACAAAATTTTCTTAGCTCTCGCGCGGGTACTAACTTGTGATAAATTTTGTTAACGAAAAATTTAAAGCGTTGCCGGATCAAGAACTAAACAGCTGTGATTTAAGGAGCGAAATAATGAATTGTATATATATTTTTAAAACCAAGGTAGAAGGCAATATCATTCTTGCATGCAGCTTTTTTCTAGTCGGCAAGAAAGATGGAATTAATAAGAGCATTTATGGCAAGGCAAATATTATAAAATGTAATTCACAAAAGGCATTTAAAATACGAAAATAATCAGTTATTGGAAGTCGACGGCGTTGGTGACTCTGGTTATTTGCCGCCAGCTTTTTAGCTGGACATACATACATTAATAAAAATTATTACAATATTTACAAGAACATTTGAACATTTTGACAATTTTTTTTTGATTACACTGGTTACCGAGCAAAATATATATCGATTTCACTATCTACGTTCTACTATCAAGACTGCTGGATTGGATACTAGATGACCCGAAAAGAAAGGCGTCTTGGAAGCCCGGAACAGCTGCACCGATTGGACCAATACATTCTGGACGGCTTTCAACGAAAGAGTTACACGATGATATCCTTGATATCTTGATATTCATCAGTCGTTTGACAGAGTCTGGCAGCCTGGCCTGATGTCAGAGGTCAAGAGTCTGCACCCTCAACTTTATGACGCAATCAGCAGCTTCCTAAGGGTTGAACAATACAGGTAGTCCATGATGGAGTCAGCTCCTCTTACAGGACTCATTAAGTTTGGGAACTGTGCATACAGGTGGAACGTGGCTATTAGGCGTGGGATGTGGGCAATGGTCACATACGCGCTAAGGAGAGGAACTAGCCCTGGAGCCCTCTTTCATGGCCAGCTTCTTCCGCAACACAAGGAGTTCACTTACCTGGGGCTAGTCCTCGATTCCCGGCTCACATTTGCATTTGCTTATCAAGAAAACCAGGGACAAACTTGAGGAAGCTGCAAAGCAAGTTCGTTGGCTCACTGGCTCGAGGAGCAAGCTCAGTTTAGAAACTAAGAGAAGAATTTACTTGTCCATCCTTGCTCCTAATGGGAATTACGGATTTCCCATTTACTGAGCAGCGTCCAAAACAAACTTGCTGAGGATCAAAGCGTCGCAAGCTATATTCCTGGGGCGGATTACCGGCTCGGAATGGTACATCCGAAACGCTGGCATCCACCGAGAACTGTTAATACCGTTGAAACACCGAGCAAGGCTACAAAAGCACCATAACCCCCTGGCAAGACACATCACCACGGACCATAGAAGACGGAGACTGAGAAAAATCCCATTAGGACAGCTTTTGGCCCGAAAAATATTATAATAACAAGTCAATTTAACAAACACAACTATAAATAAAATGTTAAACAATTTAATAGTTATAAGAATGTAATAGACATTTAACAAACTGCTTAGGGGGCGATCCTGCCCGAAAAGATTCGTTATTGGAGGCCAAAGATTTAACACGTCGCTGGCGAAAAATTAGCCCGTCAGTGTTGAAAATATAGGCGGGGGCGTCGTGGTATATTTTAGGGTCAGCTTTTATTCGCTGCTTACATGAGAATAAAAACTTAACTTAGAACCGAGCTCCCGGTCGCTTTGCATCGTTAAAACGAGAGCGGGAGATCGACAAACTTAACTTAACTTAAGCCGGGGACAGAAAGCTCACTCCTGAACAGAGGCGGCACAGTGGGCCCCTCACGAAGTGGGCCCCAACCGAAGACGGTGCTTTGGGCCACTGGCAGTCCATTGTGGATCTTCAGAAAGACGGGCTGCATCACTCTCGAATACATATCCGCGCCTAGGACCATGCAGATGGTCGACGGTAGATGGAAACGCTCGTCGGCCAGAGTGATGTCGCGGAAGTGGGCTCGCACCGTCTCGCTTAGCTCCCAGATTGGAGTGCGGATGAGCACGTGAGGCTCAACCTTAAACACCACGTCGAAACGGAATTCCTTTCCGTCTTGAAGCCCACAGTAGCCGAACAAATTTGCTCGCCGCCAACGTTAGTGGTGCTGGGGTCGATGAGCGCGGCCGTGTCGAAGGTGCGCGCTTCGATGGCAATCCGTACCAGCGCGGTCAGACGCGCTAACGCTGTGTCGCTGCAGCAACGTTGACAGCGTCGGCTCTGCAGGCGCCCCTGGGCAATGCTGGACGGTTGCCTTTGAGCGACGGACGATGGTGTACGGACGGGGGTCGACCGTGGAGTGGCGGAGGCCGTCTGAGGAAAGGCTACAGATTGCCGAGAAGGGGCGACGGCGTCCCGAGACAGTGGTCGCTCGGATAGGTGAAGCAGTGTGTGATGGTCCTGGCCACACGTTTTGCAACAGTACCCTCGCTGACACGGCATTTTCGTAGTGGGTGGATCCCCCTGCAGACTCGGCAACGGTAAGATAAGATACCTCGAGTTCATCTGCCTTCTTGTGTGATGGCGGTGTGAGGACGCGGAGTCATCGTGCTAGGTATGACACTCATCCCTCAGGATAGTCTGGACAAAATTGCGCTCGCAGACCTCATCGGCTTCCGGGACGATACGTGTCGGGCCTTCCTCCACCTTCCAGAACTTCGCGAGGAGCGGATCCAGCGACTCGTCGTGGCCGCAAGCCACTCCTGTGGAAAAGGCACTTACACTGCGGTGAGTGGCAGGAGACACAGGGCCTGTCAGCACCCATCCGAAAATAGTCCCTTGTCCGAGAAGCGACCCGCAGATGTAATTTTTGGAGTTGCGTCAATTTGGGAGCTCTCGAAGAACTTGGGATCTGCCAGGGGGACGTCGCAAAGCCCTTGTAGAAGGTCTCGCGGAATCGGATACGAGGGCAGATTGCCAGCGGAATTACATATGCTGCAGTCTTTAATTGTAGCCCGGGTCTGGCAGGTGACCGAATTTGAACGTTAATGAGGGCGGTGCCCAATAGGACGGCTCCCGAGCCGGAAGCGAAGCACACTTTTACGTCGGAGTGTTCTTCTGAGCTACCCGAACCTCTGGAAGTGGGCGCGGGTTTGTGCCTCGTTGACGCCGACGGACTTGGAGCGGTTGCGAAGGGGTTACCGCGGTGTAGATGAGTGTGATGCCGGCTATGGCAGGTGGAGTAGCTGTGGGCACACGTACAGTCTCGTTGCTGATGCCCTTGTGCAAAACAGTTTAGGCAAAGCTGCTTCCTCTTGATGTAGTCGGATCGACCATTCACATCCATTTCAAGAAAACGTTGACATAAGCGATCGGGGTGATTCCCGCCGATCTTGGCCGAACTAGCTCCGAACCACGAGGTCTGACGTCGTCGATGTGGGTGCAATGACGCTCTGTCAAAAAAGCATCTTAATCCCTCCATATTGGAATTTCCGCTTTGTTGTGTATGGATTGCTCCCACAGCTAAAGTGTTATGTTGGGAAGCTTGGAGGACCCCATATTCACCAGGATGCAATTCCAAGAGTCGACTTGAATCGAGGACATCTCTAAAGCTGTCGGTAAGCTCTTAATGGTGCCCTGCAGATCCTTTAGCGCGACTCCGCATTCCTGAGGCACAGCCTGGATATTGAAGAGGATCTTCAACTGGCTGTTGACCAATAGTCGTCGATTTTCGGGTGGACACTGCTAGCCGCCAGAGCAGACTGAGAGGCGGCATGTGATAAATAAATAAACGGAATTGCAGTAGCTGTATTTTGACTCCAGCACTGTCGAGGTGGCCTAGCCGTCGTCGGACTCCGAGTGCAGTTCAAAGCTGCTCTCATACACACACTGACACTGTCTGTTGTGGCAAAAAACCGTTTGAGAGCGACATCTATCGCATTTTGCGCCATTTTGACAACTGACCGAGGTCATCTAGGCGAGGAAACAGAAACAGTGCATCGACGGATTCGTCGCTTTTTGCCCTTGGAATGGCGGCAGCAGC